AAGCAAATCAAATACAGAACATTGATATAACTAAGGGTTGCAATCTGCAGATGATCAGATAGAGATTGAAAACAACAGTGCTGTCTTTTAGTGTGTCCTCTGGCATTGCTCTGATTGCTTTGTAACACATTTCATACCTCCACAAACCTATGGGATACATTATAATGATTTCTGCTTCATAAATGAGGAAACTGAAGCTCAGTGAGATTAGGTAGATTTCCCAGTTATACGACAGAATGACCCTGCATTTGGAGCCAGGTCTGTAGGCCACTGCATAGCTCTATTTTGGATTGAATTTGTGTCCTCCCCAAATTTGTATGTTGAAGCTGTAACCCCCAGAACCTTAGAATGTGACTATATTTGGACATAGGGCCTTTAAAAATGTGGTTTAGATTGAATGAGGTTATAAGGGAGGGCCTCAGTGCAATATGACTTGTGGCCTTAAAAGAAGAAGAGACATTGGGGTGCCTGTGAACACAGGAAAGGCCATGCAAGGACACAGGGAGAAAGCAGCCATCTGCAAGCCCAGGGGAGAGGCCTTAGGAAGAACCAAACCTGACAACACCTTGACTTTGGACTTCCAGCCTTTAGAACTCTGACAAAAATAATTTTCTGTTGTTTAAGCTACCTAGCCTGTGGTATTTTATTATGTCAGTCCTAACAAACTGATCTTACCTTCTGAGAAAGGCTGTTATCTTGCTGGCCTTTGGGCCTTATTAGAGAGGTCTGGCTGGAGGTTGGCAGCATCTACCAAAGGATCCAAGCTCAAGTTCTCCTCCAAGATGCTCTCTGCTGTTTCCATTTCCCACTGTATGTGTGTGTGAAGTGAGTGGAAATCTGGTTTGCAAAGGAGAGTGACTCCTGGAGTGGGGCAGAAGACCAAAAGGAAAGAAGAATTGGATCTGGAAGAGGATGGAGAAGAGAAAGAAAAAGGATAAAGAGAATGAAATGAAGCTGTAAACAGGAGTACACGAAATGACAGAAAGGAACTGGAAATAGACGAGGAGAAGGGAGAGGCAAGGAAGAAACACGTGGGAAAAGGAAGGGAGATTGTTGGAAGTGGCTGAGGATGGAGAAGAGACCAAAAGAGGAGGGAAACAGGTAAAACAAAAGTGCAAGGTAGAGAGGGAAGAAGAGGGAAAACAGAAGAAGAGAGGTAGGGGACGATAGTGAGGATGAAAAAATGCAGAATGGAGGGGAGAGAAAAGAAGACAGGAATAACGGGCTCTGCTTTCCCTGAGAGCCGGCTGGCGCGCACTGCTGTATCTCCTCTGCTCAGCCTCTCCCTCCTCCCACTGAAGTCAGTGCCATGCAGTTGTGGGCCAGTTGCCTGGAGTTAAGAACACAGAGCTGGACCTGGGGAAGGGGAGGAAGCCACAGTCTACTGGACAGCAGCCCTTGCCTGGGCCCCTGCTCTTCAGGCCTTTGTGGTCTAGCATGAATGCCCAACTTTGGTCCCAGTAGGTCCCACATGCTGAGAACTTCAGTAAGATAATTTCAGAGAAGAGGAAAAGGAAGGGAGAGAAAAAGACAGGGAAAAAGAGAGGCTGGCTGGGGACTGGCTGACACCATGATGTGAGCAAGATCCCTGGGGACCACAGTTCCATGCCAGAGCCCAAGGGATGGGAATTTGTTTCTTCACTCATTCATTCCAGCACTGTCTGGCATATGAATCTGGGAATATGGTGAGAAAAGGAGGACAGTTCCTGCCTTCCTAGTACTTAATAAGCCAGTGGTGAAGAGGGAAGCATGTTTGCAAGGGGAGGAGGTACACAGTATGTCTAAAAGCACATGATCTAACAGGTGACTGCTGAGATCCTGTTTTCCTTGGCAGATAACGCTTCACGGAATTGGCTTCCTTTCTAGGGCGCTATTCCTGCTCGCCCAGGTGTTCCACTTGGGCCATTGGTTTCATGTGTATCTACTGACTAATGATCACTTAAGCCAACTTTAGCTTGTCACCTCATTTGAGGCTCACCAAAGCAGGTGGGACAAATGATCTGATGCCACACAGCCTTCCTCTAGAAACTTTTATTATAAGAGGAGATGCTGTCCACCCAAAGGAACAAATCTTAATATTGGGATCTTACACAAGAGGGTCAGGGTGTCTATTTTTAAAGTGAAAATATGGCCACCTGGAACCTTGCCATCTTTCATATACTTACTATACCAAAGTTCTGAAGTCGGAGATGGAGCCAGTGGGGGGAGAGGAGATTGTCTGGCAAAGTGCTGAAATCTATATCAGCAATGCTTGTCTTTCTGAAATTCAGTTTCTTTCCCCACTGTATACTGGTGCCAGTAACTATGCAAGTGTGCGTGTCTGTGAGGGTGGGGATATACCACAGTAACTAAGTCAGCATTCTTTCAAAGCTCACACTCTAATGGGAGGGCAAACAAACATCAATGACTGTGGTTGTGGTAAGAGAGCTAAGTGTTATAGAAGGGGAAAGAAGTCTGGATAAGCTTGAGATGATGGACTATAAATTGGTCTATGTAGGATGAACAGGGTTTTGTAAAGAGAAACAGCCCTTGGTAGGAAGAACAAGGTTTTGGACGGTGGAGCAGGCTTGGTAGGAGGAGCACGATTTCTAATGAGAAGGGGTGTTATGGTGCTGAGATTTGTAAGAGGAGTTGTACTTTGTAAGAGGCATGCGGGCTTTGTAGGAGGCACACGGATTTAGGAGGAGCAGGGCTCTTCTAGAAGGAATAGGTCTTTGTAAGGAGGAGTGGGCTTTGTAGGAGGAGCAGGGCTGTGTAAGTAGGAGCAGGTCTTTGTGAAGAGGAGCACATATTTGTAAGGAGAAACAGTGCTTGTAACAGCAGCAGGACTTTGTAAGGAGGAGCAGGGATCTGTAGGAAGGGCAAGGCTCTATAGGGAGAAGCAGGGCTTGTAAAGGAGTAGGGTTTGTAGGGGAATTGGGGCTTTGAAGGAAGAGCAGGGCTTTGTAAAGAGGAGCTGGACTTTGAAGAAGCGGGGATTTCTAGGAGCAACAGGACATTGGAAAAAGGAGAAGCTCTCTTTAAAAAGGAGGGTTTTGTAAGTAAGAGCAGGGTTTGCACGAGGAGCGGGGCTTTGTAAGGATAACGTGGAATTTGTAGGAGTGGTGCTTTGTGAGGAGGAGCAGTGCTTTGTAGGAGAAACGGGGCATTGTTAGGAGGAGCAGGGCTTCCTAAGGATAAGCTGGGATTGTTAAAGAAGTAGGACTTCGTAAGGATGAGCAGAGCTCTGTTGGAGGAGAAGTGATTTGTAGTAGGAGGAATGCTTTGTATGAAGAACATTGCTTTGCAGGCGAAGCAGAGCTTTGTAGGTAGAGTGGGGTTTTGTAGGGGAAGCAAAGCTTTTTAAGGAAGATCAGGGCTTTGCAGGAGCAGGACTTCGCAGGAAGAGTAGGGTTTGCTGAAGGAGCAGGACTTTGTATGACAGCAAAGCCGTGAAGGAGGAAAAGGCCTCTGTAAGGAGAAAGAGGCCTTTGTGAGGAAGAAGAGGTATCTGTAGAAACAAGGTTTTGTAAGATGGAGCAGGGCTTTGTAGGAGCAGTGGGATCTGTAGAGAGGAGCAGGGCGCTGTAAGAAGGAGCAGGACTTTGCAGGAGGAGCAAGACTTCCAAGGTTTCCTTGGGAGGACTAGAGATTCTTTGGAGGAGCTGGGATTCCTAAGAAGAGCAGGGTTTGTAGGAGAAGCAGGATAAGGATAAGCAGAGCTTTTGAGGAAGAACAAGGCACTATATGCAGAAACAGGGCTTGTAGGAGGAGCAGGGCTTCCTATGAGGACCAACAGTTCTTTGCAGGAACAGGTCTTTTCAGGGAGGAGAGGCTTTTGTAGTGGAGGTGCTTCCTGAGGAGCAGCTGGGCTTTGAAGAGGGAGCAGGCTCTGTAGGGATGAGTGGGGCTTTGTAAGGAGGAGCAGGGCTTCCTAGAAGGAGGGCTGTGTGAGAAAGGCTGGGCTTTGCTGGTTTCTACTGGTAGTGATCACTGCATATTTGTCCTCTCCAGGCATTATTCTCTATTTGATTGCTAGGGGCAAATCCTGGCACTGCAAAGTCCACGGCAAGGGTTGGAATGCCAAGTGGGGTGGTACATGGCTTCCAGCAAAATGCTACCTGCACGTTCCCCAGCCACATGAAGAGCAGAGTGACTCCCAAGCTTCTCACGCCTGGCCTGGGTGCAAGACCCCTCTTTCTCTTTCCAAACTAGTGAAACGATAAGTGCTGAGCCTGTGTGGACAACACCCTTCTAAGACCTAAGGCAACTGTGACCTCTTTTTGCAAATGTAGGGTGTGGCAGACATTAGGAGGTCACAAAATTTTCCTTTTTCTCCTTGGGATGTGGCTTCACTAGGTCCTCCGGCCTTGCTTGCAGTTAGATGAGGCCATGCTCTGGCCAGTGACATGTGATGAAAGCAATGTGTGCTACACGTTCCAGCACTTCCCATGTGCAGTCCTCCACATTCTTTCCCATTCTGCAGCAGCCTTGAAGAGAGTGGAGCTCAAATACAGAAGAAAGCCAAATTCTGCTCAGAGGAAATCTGCTTTCCCTATCTCACTGAAACCCCTGAAGGACTGGGGTTTCTAGCTACCTCCATGGTTTCACTAACGTAAGACAAAGCTTCAGGCATCAAAATCACAATGGGGCCGAGCTAGAAACCATCGCAGTGTTCCTGACATAAATGTCTTGCTTTGGCCTAATGAATTCCTGAGGCAAGTGTACATGGAAAGTATTCATAAACAACGCTTAGCTATCTAACTGGCTGAATGAAACAGTCTGTCTTTCAAGTCACTTGGGCCTGCCTTTGATTCCTAATTACTTTCAAAAGGTTTTTTTTTTGGATTTGATTAATCTAACAAAACAAAAAATTCTTCAAGGGTGTGTGTGTATATACCTTAAGTAGTATTTGAGGGACAGTGTGCCATTTTAAAATAAATAACTGAAGAATCCTTAGAAAATATTTATGATCTCAAACACTCAATAAATTTCAATAAAGTTTGCTACAGGACTAGTACTTAAAGGAGATATTTTTAATGAAGGCTGCAAGCTACAGCGACTAATATTAAAGATGACAAACAACAATAAATTATGCAATTTAATTTTTAATAACAAAGATACTATATTTTAACATGGTGAAATATACTTGGCTAAGTCCAGATTAAAAAAAAAAAAAGTATCTAGCCCAACAGTACAATCATACAGCTTTGTACAGAACATTCCATAGATCAACAGAAAATACATTTGAGCACAAAAATAAAAAATATTTAAAGAGAATCTCTAAGCAGCATTTTATTTCTGCAAAAGACATATCTTGTACTGATTAAATATCTACAAGTGCTTTTCCTTTACAAAAATACATATATTCTTAATAGACTAAGTCATTAACAATGACCTGGTAATTCTTTCACTTCAATTTGAATGATTTATAAGCTAAATCTTACAACCACAAAAAGGTTTTTATTTGTATTAAGATGTTACCACTTTTGACAAAAAGCTTAAAATATTTTATATTTCAAAGGAAAATTAGCAACATAACTTTACAATATATCCTATGATATTTTGATTGTGAGGGCTACTCTATTTAAAACTGATGATCTCTGTTGTGTTGCTCAGATGCAGGAAAGCAGCAGAACCCTGGTACTCCCCCAACAAGCTCCTGTCGCGGACCACAGCTTCATAAGGACACTTAGGCCCCCACCCCCATTCTAAAAAATACAACAAAAGAAAACCGACCCCAAACAATGCTAGGCTGATCCCATTACATTTTTAATGTGTAGAACTCCTGCTCCAGTGGACTGATGTGCAGAGGATGGATAAATAAATTTGTTGACTATCTCTCCATCACCCAGAAATATTTAATCTTCATTTACACTAGATTAGTTTCTTATTCCATGAAGCTCCATAGATGGAAGAAAACTAGACTCAGTATTTAACATATCTGTTTCACTTGATTCTAGATTTAAAATTATAAAAATTAAAAATCTCTGAAAAATCAGTCTCAGTTTGGAACTATAGAAAAAGGGGCATAACGAGTATACAGACACATTTGAATGAGCATTTAAAATAATTATTTTTAATTTTATAACTTTCTGAAAGGAAGTGCTCAAGCATTTTAATTCTATTCGAAAATATAAGGAAAGCAAGTAAACATTATTTATGAAAACTGTATTACACTAGGAAGAGAATTACTTAAATTATTGGAAAAACATCACTGCAATAAAAACTATTGAAAATTGTATTGTACATTTAAGTATATCTGAATTAACTTTCAGTCTGATGTTTTCCATCAAAATGCTACTCAACTAGGTTTGTCAAGTAAATCCAGAAACAGTTATTGTGTGCCTTGAAAGGGTATGAGTCTCTGGTGTATTTAATATTTTTCACTTTTTCATAAACCAGATCTAGCAGACATGTTCCTTATTTTTACCCAAACTGTAGGAATATATATTACAAAATATTGATAATTGCATTTCAAGTTTTCATGTTTCTAATCCAGAAAATTAAAGTTATGGCAAACTCATTCATTTTTGAAGCTCCTACTACCAACCAATATCTTACTAGTATAAAGCTTAGCTTTCTGGAAAATTCCTTATGATAAATCAGAATATGTAATAGAGTGTGCATCCATTTTTACCCTCTCCAAGGAGATTTACCTAGTGACCTATCAGAAAGGCTTCATGAGTTTTACCTTTAAGGTAGCCCATAGCATGAATTCCCAAGGAAAATGGTACAAGGGGGATATGGAACTTCCTCTTGATGTACATGCTTGTTCTGTGACCCATTTTGTCAAAGCTGGCTGTATGGCTAAATTCTAATAATAATAAACTAAGTGCTGAGGAATAAGACAAAGAGTTGCATTTTTTTGGAGATGGAGACTCGCTCTGTCACCCAGGCTGGAGTGCAGTGGTGTAATCTCGGCTCACTGCAACCTCCACCTCCTGGGTTCAAGAGATTCTCCTGCCTCAGCCTCCCATGTAGCTGGGATTACAGGCGTGTGCCACCACACCTGGCTAATTTTTGTATTTTTAGTAGAGACGGGGTTTCACCATGTTGACCAGGCTGGTCTTGAACTCCTGACCTCAAGTGATCCACCTGCCGCGGCCTCCCAAAGTGCTGGGATTACAGGCGTGAGCCACTGTGCCCGGTCTAGAGTTGCTTTTTAAGGGGAAAAAACCACAGGCTCTTATGAAATATTTTGAATACAGAGAAAGCCCTTACTTATATAAATTCCATAGAATGAACTCTTTTCTATATAAGTAAGGGAGTTGGCACTTTTACCAAAGTCTGCCTTTAATAAAATTTCTCATATTACGAAGAATACAGGAGCTAAATCGAAGCTTAATTTTAGTTTACACTGCCTCCATGAAATAAAAAGCCTCTCAAATTAAAAATCTCAACTTTCTTTTCAAAGTATGTATTTCTCTCACTTTTCATGCAAAGGAAGGCTATTTGTTGTGTTTATCTCTTTCTCACCTTTGAGGATTTCCTAAGATCTGTTAGATGACGCTGAAAAACAATAAACATATTTGAAAGGAAGTGTGTCCTGATTATTGCAAGAAAAGCCTGCATATGACTGATCTCACCAAGAAAATTCAGTTTAAAGCCTTTCTTTGGTGATATTTTAGCAATTAATCAAGGTTATTGCCTAACTATATAAAATTAAATTGCAATCTAAAAATTTCCAACCTCCAAACTGTTAAAACCGTCTCTCCAACATGGTTATTAATTTACTGTAAAATGTCTTTGGTGATATCTATATTCTTATGAAAATCTTCCAAAAAATTAACTTACAAGAGCCTATTTAGATATGAAACCATTCATAAGAGACAGGTACAGATAACTCAAACTTTATGCAGTAAATTTAAAACAGAAATGCACTTTAGCAATGAGGCACTTTCTCTTAAATATTTCAGTAAAGCTAAACAGTTCACAATATTATATAACACACTTTTTTTCTTAAAGAATCAGTTTAAATTTAGATTACATTTGAGTGTGTAATGTAGTTGAGCAAAATCATTACATTTATAAAATGTGGCACATTAGTATGGGATAGATGTTTAATGTATAAAGAAATAATATACTTCTCTAAGAGTAGTTAAAAGGCATTACCCAAGTTACCTGTACTCCAACTGAGTATTACCTCATCAATGAGCATTTTAGTTTATTTTTTCAAACTTTGTAAAGGTGTTTTGCTAATCTAGAGAAAAGGCCATACATATTTTGATTTCTCTATTAACTGATGTGATTACTTCAATTAAAGTAATGTTTATAAACCACAGTCATTCTTTATATCTAAGTTCCCTTGACCCTTTTATATTTATAATTTCTAAGGCAGATAAAAGAGATAACAAAATCTTTTATGGAAGTAAAGGTCTTTCAGTTTATTGCTTAAGAAACAACAGATTAAAGAAAACTTTTAGTTTTAGTCTCTGATTTTACAGATTCAGATGATTCCTATAGGTTATTTATATAAAGAATTCATTTTATAAGCACCCTAAATTTATAAAGCTAACCACAAAAGTTGCCTGCACATTTTTTCTATACCTAGTTTCTTGCAAATTCTACAACCTGACTTAAGGGGTAATTAATGGGGAATACAGTGTATTACTAGACATGAAAGTAGTCCTATCCTTAGAAAGCTGTAGTTGAATAATATACCAAAATAAGTCAGTTGAAGAAATCTGTGATTCTAGTAGTAATACTATATAACTTAGGACCATCAAAAAAATGTGTACCTTTCTCCAAACGACAATTGATGCCTTTCTTTATGTAAGCTTTTCACATATTTTGGCACATATTCCATTGCATTTCAATAAAAATGTTAATGCATTATCAGTAAATAAAAGAATTCTATATAAAACTATTCTGTTTCATAATTGCTTCCTATATATTTCCTTGGAAAATAGTGAAATTAATATGACAAGGCAACTAGCCAAATTTAAAGAGATTTTGTAAATAAAATTCATTTATGGCCATTAAGTTTTGGCTGGAGGGCCAAAACATCAAAGTCTCACTTGTGATTTTTAAAAATGCACTCAATTCGTTTTGAGTTAATTAAAATTCTATTTGCAAAACACTATTTTAATCACTGACCTAGGTGTGACAAATTTATAATAATTTGTAAAAGTTCTTAGGGATGTCTGGGAACTGAGTTTCACAGCATAGAAAAATAATTTCTGTAGCTAGATAGTAAATTCAGTTTTTTCAGCCATTTGTAGTTAACGAAAATCTGCCTTTTAAATTCTTTTAAGTGCTTGTGAGCCATTGCAAGAACAAAAACAATCTAACAAAACAAAGTTAAGAAAGTATTGCCTTAACCTTTTTCACCAAAGTTAGAACAACAGAAAAATTTAATAGACTTTTTGACTCAAAAAAAGATACAAGGAAAAGATAATTATGAAGTTTCAGCCTTTTACATAGTGAAACATATTAAGATTTAGCTGTAGTTTGTATGTTTGCTAGAGTTGTACAATATCTTATTTCTAAGAATCATTTTGAAATTCAGAAGGCTTGATTTCTGATACATTTTACTGGAAAATGTGGCACATTTACCACATATGCAGTATAAAACCTAAATGTGTGTAACACACAGGTTGTGCTGTCATATTTCTCAAACAAATATTTTCCCGAACTTTCAAGATTTTTTCCTAAGTTTCAAAGGTTAGCTTGTTTGTTTCAAAGCAATTTCCAAATAAGTTTTTTGAAAACTGTAAATTTTAAAAGATTTAAAATGACAGTTTTCATATAATTTAAGGTAACAAGACTTTCTTTGACTTGCAGACTAATCCTAAAATGAATGGAAGACTTAACAAAACTGCAAAATACAAGACATTTTGTATTTCTGATCTTAATGAACTCATGTATAAAATAATAATCTCATTTCCCCAATTACTACAGGATTTAAAATAAAATACCCTTAACCTATTAATTTTGGTTAGCATAGTTCTATACTGCATTTATTCTATTTTATGCACATAGTTTGGAAATGTGAAAGGTAACTAACAGTTTTAATCTACAACTGTTTTGAGACTTTTGAAATCCATAAAATAGCTAATGTTATGTGCTCTAAACATCCTAATATTTAAAATCATCATAACCCTCTGCATGCCACAATGACATATACCTAAGGCCAACTTAAAAAGAGAAATAATGCACTCATTAAATGACAGCAACAATGTAATGATACATGAAATGGGCTATACAATGACATTTCCATGAAGCAGCACCTGCTTGTCATAAGGCATTATGAAAGAAGATTAACCTTACTTACACATTAATTTTATCAAAAGTAAATGTGATCAGCTGCCAACATTTTGAATGGTTGGGAATCTAACTTCAGTTCAAGAGGTCACATACATTTTCAGTCTGGAGGGCTAACATGCCTTCCTTGTGCAATTGGTAGACTACACGGACAGATGCTTAGAATGTCTACAATTATGTTGTGCTCTAATGTTACAGAATAACTGGAATTCTTGGCAAAAGGACTTGCACACTCAAGAATGAACTTTTTCACACAAAAAGCTTACCAAGAACAAGACAGTGGCTCAAAAACCACTTTTCTAAATATATTTCCATACAAAATAATTTCAAGATATAATTATTAGTTTCTTGTACAGTACGCTATTTAAACAAGAATAAAATAGTAAGTATGTGAAAACTGCAACACCACAAAAATTGAGCCATTTTACTAGTGTAATTAAACATTAGAACAATCTTGGAACAGGCAAGCAAAATATTCAGAAGGTTGAATCATGGCGGCACACCTAACTGATTTTAACCATGACTTGCACACTTTGAGACAACACAAATACCTTATGCAGATGGTTCAGTAGCAGAATGGCACTTGGTTTGCTCCTAATAGAAACAACATGAATGCAACTGACAATTGAGAGATAGACAATGGCCTTATTTGCATGCTGAAAATCTGGTTGTGTTCCTCTAGTCCACACACCGTTAACTGTGCAATCTGTTGACGAGTAAACAAATAGTGCAGGATTCATCTCAGTGAGGTCTGGGCCCCTTCATCTAACCAAAATCAATTCTTGGTCGATACTGCAATACCATAGGGTATGACTACAAAATAAAGACAGATAATGAATAAGACTGTACTTGGATAAAAACAATACAGTTTATATACAAAGATTTTAAGAATTTGGGGTTATAATTTATAATATTTCCTGGTACTAGAGATTACAACAGTTAAAATTTGAGTTACCATTAAAACTCGATTTCTTTTGATTGCCATTATTTTTCTGTAATCAGTCAAGTTTTCAATAATATGCAGCAGAGGTCAAGTTTAAAGGTCTACAGACATGATGCAGGTTGTATATATGACTAGTACCAGCACAACACTTAGGAGAGGCAAGACCTGGGGAGGACTGAAAGTTACATACCCTGCTTATAGGCATTCAGTTAGTAACCCTATGAGGCGAACAAGACAAATCAGCAGCCTGGATTCCACTACAGCTTAGGCTGGTGAGAGCCCACTAAATCACAAATCAACGAAGAGACCCCCTCTGCTAGGAACCTGTAAAACTGGAGTAGTGTTCACAAATCACATTTCTTACAAGTTTGACACATTTTTTTTAATTTAAAATTTATTTTAATGATCCTTTAAAAATATTGAAAAAGTAGCTAATTGTTACATGAAACATTTAGGTCACTGCCTCCTTTCAACAGTTGATACTAATAAACATTTGGATTTGACTACAACATAAAATAACTGAATGGTTCATATTGTTCTTCATGTCACTATGTAGAAAAGGTATCAAACATCTGGCTATCATACAGAACTAGAGAGAAAACAGCTTCTTTGGGATAAAGGCATATGGCATATGCCACGCTACCTCTGTGTTTGTTTTTACCCTGTACCATATCTTATAGAACCAAAACATCAGTGGTTTCTCCCTTCCTTAAATCTGCAGATACCCCCTCTTAAAATGAAATTTGAGGAGCTAATTTTATGGAATCAAGAAGGGGCTGAGATAGCCACTGACTGATGTTTCTCCATCTTAGTATACATGAATACAAAAATACGGTATAGAGAACTTTGTATTCTTTCATATAGATAAAAGGGCTAGACTGAGACATAACAATCCTGAAAAATGACCATTTCAGTGCTTACTATAGCTATGCTACACACTGGGACGACTCAGTGTGGGAATCTGTAACCATTCAGCTCAGGATGGAACTAGAGGGTAGGAATACAAACGCCCTAGGTCTTGCTCTCCCAGCTGAAGTACAGCAGATGCTACCACAGCTGTCTAAGGGCTGGAGTAAAAGTGTAAAAGTCTCAGACAGTCTCTCAGGGTTTCCAGGATCTAAAACTTCTAAAACTGTTTTGGTTTTACTTGTTTTTATTTTAAACTTTATTTAGTTCCCCCTGAATCAGAATACCTGGGAAGGAGTAAGACACAGATATCTCCATTTTACTAAACTCTGGATGTTTCTGAAGCCCAGAGAGATTCTGAGATGACCAACATCCTTTCCATTCTACCTCACCCAACCCACAGCTTGCCCTTCACTATGGTAACTGCGCTAGTTTTGCGTTTCATTCCCGAATCTATTGAATCTGCACACTCTCTGCAAATACATAAGCCACTCATTTTAGAATGCATTCATCACATATAGAAGTATCCATCATCAATTCTACTAGGGATAAAGGTACAGAGGGAAGTAAAATGGCTTGATTGGTAATGCTTGGGATTTTCTCAGTTTTGGGCTGAAAATAATGTTCTTTTCTCCCCCAAGTAGCCATTTGTGTGTGTTCTATAAGAACATATGAAGTTTAATAATTTTATTGAAATGTGTCACAACACTGAAAATTGTAAAGGTATATTTTAAGTTCTATTTGTGTTTCGGTTTGTTTTCTGAAATAAAATGGCACCACACTAACAATAATGAAATGTGGCATATAATTACCTCTTAGTGTTAAGTGACTGCATTAAATAGACCTACATTACAGTTTCTAGTCCTCAAGTCTCATTATGTAATAAAAATAAAGAACAGATACTTAGAGAATACATTTCAAATAATTTTAGAAAATGATAAAACTGTCTTTGATATACTTTTTTCCTTAAAGAATGAATTATTTTTGTCAAAACTTGTTTTTACTGTAGATTTGGAAAATACAGAATGGTATCAAGAAAAAAAGGAAAAATATTTAAATCCTACCATCCAAAGGTAACTACCATAATAATTTTAGTGTATATTCCTCTACTCATTTTATCTACATTCGTTTTTTTTCTTCAAAACTAGAATCATGCTAAACACATTGTTTAGTATCATTTAAATTTTTTATACATTTAGCAATTCCACAAACCTATTTCCATACCATTTGATATGGTCCTACATAATTTTTAACAGCTGTATATTATGCTGTTATAGAAATGAACTGTGAGTTATCAGTAAGTCTCCTTTTGCTGTACATTTGAGTTTAGTCCTTTTCTCCTTTGCTATTATAACTTAATCTTAACCCACCAATCTATTTCTTTTGCCCCAGGATAGATTCCTAAAAGTGGAACTGCTAGTTCAAACAGCATACACATTTTAAAGAGCTTTTTGATAAATACTGTTACACTGGTCTTCAAGAAGGTAGTTCTGGATGGGCGCGGTGGCTCACGCCTGTAATCCCAGCACTTTGGGAGGCCGAGGCGGGTGGATCACGAGGTCAAGAGCTCAAGAACATCCTGGCCAAAATGGTGAAACCCCGTCTCTACTAAAAATACAAAAACAAAACAAAACAAAAAAACCTAGCCGGGCATGGTGGCACATGCCTGTAATCCCAGCTACTCAGGAGGCTGAGGCAGGAGAATCACTTGAACCTGGGAGACGGAGGTTGCAGTGAGCTGAGATCGCACCACTGCATTCCAGCCTGGCAACAGAGCGAGATTCCATCTCAAAAAAACAAAAAACAAAAAACAAAAAAAAGTAGTTTCATTTTTCTACATTTTTAAAAGAAATTTGAATGCCCATTCCTCTATAGCCTCATCAATAATGATTACTATCTTTTCCCACCTCTTAATTTGGCAATCTAATAAGCATAAAATAGTATTTTTTTTCATTTCTTGACTTCTAAGAAAGTTACTCATTTTTATATGTTTATTAGCCCACTGTGTTTCCTTATGTATCTTGCCTGATCATGTCCTTTGCTCATTTTTATGAAAAGTTGGGATTTTTCTTACATATTTGTATGAATTCTTTATGTATTAAAAACATTAAACCTTTCTCATACATTATAAATATATTTTATGATATTTTTGCCATGTGCTTTTAATATTAATAGTCAATTCAATTTTTTTAGGTACACTGTGAAAGGCCATCCCCACTCTGAGATCAGTTCTTCAACTATATTTTCTTCTTGATCTTTTATAGTATCATTTAAAATATTTACCATCTTGAGCCATCATAAACCTATACTGATGTAAAATGTGAGGTGGAATTGAATTCCCCACCCACAGTCTCAGTATAATTAATTGAAAACAAATCCTACTAGATCTGCACCCTACATTACATTCCTGAGTGCACTATTACCAATCGGCCCTTATGCACTGTCATGTTCCAGCCCCACTGTCCTCCTTGCTATTCTCAAACAACCAGATACAATCAATTCTCAGGGCCTTTGCAGTGTGTTCCCTCAGCCTTCAGTGCTCTACCTCAGATATTCACATGGCAACATCTCTCAATTTCTTTTGATCAACAATCACCACCTCCAAGAGGGCTTCTCTTGGCTATCTTATCAAAACTATTCTATTTATCTATTTTACTTTTTCTTCTAACACTATAAATTTTAACATGTTTATATTTTTTGTCTGTTACCATCATTAGTGTAAGTTCCATGAAAGAAAAGATTCATGTTCATTTTTACTTCTGTACCCTCAAAGGCCTAGAAGAGTGCCCAATGCATAATACTCATAGATATTTGTTGATCATTTTACTGCATTAATTTGAAATACCCTCTTTAGAGACTCATACATACTAGGGTCTGTCGCTGAGCTATTCTTTTTATTCATATGTCTATATTTAAGGCAAGACCCTATTTTAATTACTTCAACTTTAAAATATGCTTTAGTATGTGGTAGTACACAATCCCTCTCATTACTCTGTAAAAACATGACTGATCAGAAGCACCTGTTGATATTTCCTTATGAGCTTTAGAATGACTGACTTTGTCATCTTAAACAAAGATCTGGTAAAAGTGTGTTTGGAATTACATTTAACTCTATAATTTAATTGAGGGGTGAACTGGCATCTCTATAAAATGTAATGTACTATTTAAATTTCTTAGGTATAAAATGGAATTCTGTATATATATGAGAAGGTCTCTGTTCTTAAGAAATATATGCTGAACTGTTTAGTGGTCAATTTTCCTGATACCTGCAATTTACTTTTAAATGATTAAATTATATGTATACACACACACACACACACACACACACACACACAGAGATTGATTAATTAATAAGGAGATGAGAAGAGAAAGAGAAGGGAAGAGGAGGCAAAAAATGTGGCAAAATGTTAACTGATGAATCTAGGTAATCGTAAAGAATATTCCTTTGTATAATCATTGCAATTTTCTGTTGTTTTGAAAAACTTTTCAATAGGAAAACATCCGGACTTCACACTGAATTTTATCAAACACCTTTTCAGTATCTACTGACGATTTTTAGCCTAGAGTATATATGTATAAAATATATGTATATTTTATATATATATATTTAATCCCATTCTCCCAATATTAAGTTATTCCTTCATTTCTGATAAAAATGATATTAGGCCTTGGTTTACTATTATCTTACTATATTAGTGTATTATTTATCATTTATTTATATTCAAAATAAGATTTGGTACCCATTTTCTAATTGTGGGTTCTCTGTCAGTTTTTGCTATTAAGAATGGCAAATTGGAAGGTTTCCACCTTTTCTAATGATTAACAATAGATACAGCATAGAAATGATTTATTCCTTGAAAATTAGAGAGAATTTTGACCATAAAACCATTTAGGTATCCTTTCAGGAAGTTAAGAGTGCATCCTATTAGCTACAAGTTCAATTTTCTTACAGGACTATAAGCCATTAATGAGGTGTTGAAGGAAGAAAAGGAAATTTGTATGGAATTAGAAATTTGGTCTCACTCCAGTTTTTCCCTAATACTTTGGATCATGGTTTAAGGACATCTTCATTTCTAAGAAAATATATAGACATCAACACCAAGAGTAAAAGCAGAAAGCCACGCATTGCACAGGTTATAGCTACAGGCAGTGTTATCGTTACATTTCAGCATCCCCAAATCAGCCATGAGGCTAAAGCAGCTGAAACATCTATATACTTCGGATATACACAAATCTCAGCAGCTCAGTTACATTATGTACCCCAGACCCTTATCTGCATAAAGAGAAGAATGATCTTTCTCCCTCAATGACTTGGCCTTCAGAGATGTTAAATTTACTTAGTACATTGCTGAAAAGCTAGGACTTAAAGAGTATGTATCAAAAAGAACACATTTTAATGAAGGCATGAGAATTCCCATGTCATAGAGCACTGACAAAAGGCTGAAGAAAATTCTAGATAACTGCTAATTAAATGTTTTCAATTAGCAATTTCAAGTGATTCTTTTAATGCTTAACATACATTCATTTGTCCCAACTCCAAAACTGTAACACTGGAGGTAAGTATGCCAGTTAAGTTTGTTATATAATTACAATTATCCTTTCTCCCTGGCTCCAAGGAAATAAAGATGAAGACTACTTTAATTACTGAAATAAAAGAACGTTGGATTTTATTATTTTATTATTTATTTGTTTGAGACAGAGTCTTGCTCTGTCACCCAGGCTGGAGTGCAGTGGCACAATCTCAGTTCACTGCAACCTCCACCTCCTGGGCTCAAGTGACTCTCCTGTCTCAACCTCCTTAGTAGCTGGGACTACAGGGGTGTGCCACCACACCCAGCTAATTTTTGTTTTTTTTGTAGGAACAGGGTTTCACCATGTTGTCAAGACTGGTCTCAAACTCCTGGACACAAGAGATCTGCCCGCCTCAGCCTCCCAAAATGCTGAGATTACAGAGGTGAGCCACCATGTCTGGCCTAAAGTTTATTAAAAAACAATTTTTTTTAATCTTGCTATATTGCCCAGACTGTTCTCGAACCCCTGGCCTCAAGCAATCCTACATTCTCAGCCTCACAAAGTGCTGGGATTACAAGCATGAGCCACCATGCCTGGCCCAACAACGGATATTTTAAAGAAATGGTATGATTAATTCACAGGATTAAGGTTGATCTTCAATCACGTCTGTACCCAACAATAATCTTTACTATACCCTTGTCTGTTTCTCAAATTTTTAAAATGTATCTTTATCAGATAAACTTTCCTCAGACACATGTTCAAGTTTTCTTAATGCATTATTAAATCAGCTCACTATCATTTTTAAAGAGGTAACCCAAGTAAAGTACTAGGGAAGGGCTAATAAGCAAGCTTATAATTAGAATCAGCTGTTGCTGTTATTTAGATTCACCTAATTTGGCATTTTATATTTCACTTGTGGTTGAATGATTCACTAAAAAATAACATTCATACAAAGAAAGTAACATCTCAAAATCCAATATGGAGCAGAGATTTCTCAAGGACTGAAAGTAGTAATTATTAAAAACTCTTGATTCATAAATGATAGCCTTAACATTTCCAATTTTTTAGTTCAGTAAAATTAAATAGATAACTCAGGAGAACCAAAATAATGGGAAATCTTGGGTTTATAAGTTGAAAAGATAACTTTTTGTAGCTCCAGTAACAATTAGTTTTACAAAGTTAAATGTCTTAGGAATTGAGTTTGGGATGAATGTGCTCACCGCCATGGTGTCATGATGGTCATATGTACAGTCGTGAGTGCCTCTTACCTGATACAAAGGGCCATCCTGAGAGCAGACTTGCGAAGCTGAGCAGTTCAGACACCGAAACTGCGGAGGAGATGAACTCATCAGATAAGAGGCATCCACAACTGGACACATATTTAAAATTGATTATTTAAAATAGTTTAACGTCAAACACAAGAGTCAACATGATTAATGGTAAATAAACACTTTCCAAAAAAATGGTGGTTGTTTTTGAAAAAAGATTTTAATAACTTAGTAACTGGTAAAATTTAGCTTGAAGTAATTTTAGCATCTAGATATGAGTTTTAATATTCTGCAAATGCAAAAATGGTGGCCTCTCCTTTCTATATCCTTTACAAATACTATTTCCTGGGAAAACCTCACTTCTTGCATACATGAGGGACATCCTCATTCTTCCATACCTTCCTCTGATCAGTCTCTCCCAGATCTCTTCTTCAGCTTCCCCTGAAAGTAATACTGTTCAAGGAAATCAGAGCTCTGAGAGGGACACGGAACTCCGCTCAACCTATAAGGCATCTACTTTCTGTTATATAGTAGGTTCTTTACATTGCTTTATATTGCTGATTATATTAGCATTAGATTGTGAGCTCCTTGAATCTATATTTTAGTCATATTTGTGGTCTTAATAGCTAAGGCCCAGAACTGGCATACATCAGCCATCAGATTTATGAGTAAAGCAATGAGTGAACACACTTTAAAACTACTGAGTAGATTCATTTGTTAACCTACTACTTTAACACAGTTTATTCACATTAAAAAACTCATTCCCAAATCCTAATTCTTCAATATTATGCTAAACTCTTATTAAATATAATTTTAATTGTAAGTGGACTATAAAACATAAAATGTATACTTTAAAATTATGCATATATGAATTCAACATTGCATACTTTTCAAAATGGAAAAATTAAATACATAAAAAATAAGGTACAAATTAACCAGGATATTTCTAACATAGCAAAGCAGGTTTTTAAAGGATATACTTTGAAAGATTTAAATAAGCATTGATTAAAACAAATATATTTCTAGGCTTTTAAATAAAAATTAAGGAATTTTCTATTTTCCCAAAATACTTTAGTAATTTTTTTCTCTAACAGTCAGTCCTTGATTTTGGGTACAGTGTGCATCAACATGCTGTAAGGCGGGCACAGCTCGGCTCTCCTTTAGCAACCTTCTCCTTTTGCTCCCAAGAGTCCCCAAGCTCTGGTCTATCAGACTTTGCGTAACATTGAAAATCCTAAACAGGGTTCAACAAGAGTAAGCTGGAAGTGGCAATTTCACTAAGTGATTCTTTTTTTTTTTTTTTTTCTATTGATCTCTTTGGTATCAGTCAAGATGTATAAACTTGCTTTTCTTACAATTGCCTGCTAATGCAAATAAAGCAAAGGAAGACAAGCATGGTGTAGTAACTTTAGGTGCTGGACTGGCAGAGATTGCTGGAAGAGATAAAACTAAATCAGGATGAGCTGCGAAAAGGGGGCTGTACTGAGAACTATCCAAGAAAAGGGGAGTAGGAAGAATGTGAGTCCATGATGAAAGCTAAGGCTGGATAGAGATATTGACAATAAACTCTCAGGGATGAAACTAGGTGAAGGAAGAGGGAATTATAATCATAATAAAGGTTAATATGCATAAGCTATTAATAAAATAATATTTATCATGTCAGATACTCTGCTAACACTTTAGTATGCAATATTTCATTGATTCTTAGTTTTACCCAAATTTTAAAGAATCAAAACATTGAGGCAAAACTAGGAAGCAGGACACAATTGGAAGATAGCTGTAACACATAACAGCAAAAGATTCACATTCAGAACACATAAAGAGATCCTAGAAGTCAATAAGAAAAAGACAAACATGATGAAAAAGAACCAAGGCAATGAATATGATAGGCAAGTTCACAGAAGAAATACAAAATAGATGATATGTAGTGTTGGTGAGGATGTCAGAAAATGGATGCTCTCATACATTACTGATATGTTTGTAAATTTCAAATAATATCCACTAAAACCTTTTCAGAGGACAATTTGTATCTACCAAAATTTAAAACATGCATACTCTGTTGAAAATCCACTTCTAAGAATCTAGCCAATGGATATGCTTGCATATGTGTAGTAGGTACTGGAACACCTTGCTTGTAATGTCAAAATATTTGAAAAAAATCTACATGTCCACCAAACGAGTGTGTTAATCAAATTATGCTACAGCCACACAAAAGGAATATTATTAATGTACTAAAAAATTGTTTCAAAGTTTACTGATTCTGCACAAGACATTATCAAATTTTAAAAAAGTTGTAAAACAATACATATGATTCCACTTATGTTTCAAAAAATGTGATGACCTCTGGGTATGAATATTGTGAAGAAAGTCCAAGTATTAGATGGATGACAGATCAGATGACATAAGTCCCTTCCAAACTAAGATCTGATTCTGTAATTCTGCATTCTCAATTTATAGATGTGGAAACTACAGGGAAAGTCAGTAGTCACAGATCACATCTCCTGAAACACTATTACTCAAAGGATGGTTCAAAGATCAGATGCATTAGTATCTCCTGGGAGTTTGCTAGAAATACAGTAACCTGAGTCTCATTCCCAGACCTACTGAGTCAGAATCTGCATTTTACCAAGATCCTTAGATGATTTAAATTTGCATTAAAGATCAAGAAGCGTGTTTTTTTTTCTTTTTTCTCCCACTAATAAGAAAAGGATTAATGCCAAGCTTGAGTACAGAATCTTAAGGTGGCAATACTGATATGAACTGAGAAAATTTTAAGAGCTAAGTCTGACCAGCTGTTTGATTCCTAAAGATAAAAATCTTTCAAAAATGCATAACAATGGAGACAAGGGTCTAGAGAGGGCAGGGACTGTAGAAGACAGGCTTAGCCTGAAGTGGAATTGCCCCAAGATAAGGAGAGCAGTGGCACAGAATCCGTGTGGTGCAGGGAAACACCCCACTATACTTGAGAAATTGAGGCAAAATCAATTATCCTGAGATTCTTCCTAAGAGGCTAGAAGTAGAGCAAGGTAGAGGGGTAATCTGAATATGGAGTACACTTGTCAGAGATGAAAGACTCCAGGGGTCCGAGAGTGGTATCCAATACGAGGAGGAAAGAAAATGACAGATCTATTCACAGTGTGTAGAATAGATGAGGAGACATCCCACAGTACCAAATAGAATAAAAAACCCGCAAAGATGCCAATTCCAGCCAAATCAATCTAGAAATATAACCCAGTGCCAGTCGCAATCCTATTCTAAAGCTCATCTGGAAGAATAAATGGGTAAAATTAGTCAACACAATTTTCAAAAGAATTGGGGATTTTGCCCTAATAGGTACTAATACACATCATAAAGCAACCTAGAAGGCCCAACTATTTGCCTTACAAAACATGTTTAAACTTCATCCAAATTTATCCCAAAGAAAGTAGACAACTGGAGGGTTTCAGAGAGGGGTGTTATGTGATCAGATCTTCATAAAAGGTAGATGATGTGTAATGCTGGTAACAGAATAAGACCTGCTCACAAGAACAAAACAATGTCTAGGAACACACACACACACACACACACACACACACACACAAATATATGCGCACACACATATATACACACATATGCACAGACATGGTGACATCTCAAAACAATAAAGTTAAATATGGATTATTCAATATTCAATATACTGTATTTCTGATGTAAAAACAATTTGAAATAAATTAGAATCTTAGCCTTGTGTTTTTGTATAAATAAATTAATTTTGGGTAGCTTTAAATGTTTAATACAAAAAAGCAATAGAAACAAGTAAAAGAACCACATAGCGGTCATTAGTTTAGGAAATCAGCTGAATCCAGCCCAAGGCAGAGCTAGTTAGCCAATAGGTAGACTAATAAGAGCTCTTCAGACATCCTGGCATCCTGCTGGCAGTGGATGATGAAATAAGAAGGGATGTGATCACAACAATATGCTTCAGGAGCTTAATCAGGAAATGATTGTTTTAGTGATATGGCTGCATTCGTCCATGTCACTCAACTGTCAGAATTCATCTATTAATATTATATTAATTCGTAATTGGAAGCTGAACAAAAATTGAAAATTTAACAGAAAAAAAGGAAGCTGAGATTCAGATAAATAAAAATTATCTTTATGATATATTTCACATAATCATTATCTTATAAAAGATAACATTTTCATTCAATTTACTCTTTGAACAAGTATTGCGTATATATGCTGGGCACTGCCCTAGGTGCTGGAGATTTAGCAGTGAACAAACAAAAATCCCTGTCCTCAGATTATATTTTACTTGGGGACAAACAATAAACATATAAATAAGAGGCATAATATGTCAGAGGTGAAATATTGTGGAAAACAATAAGGCATGAAAAGGGAATAAGAATGCCATAGGGAGAGGGGGTTGTAGTTTTAGAGGAGATCAGAGGCCTCATTGAGAAGGTGACATAGAAGCAAACTTATTTAGGTGAAGGGGGTAAAGGAAATAAGTTAGCTGGATACCGGGGGAGGTGAGGGTAAGTGGGGTGTGGTTGAGAAAACAGGCCAGTGTGGCTGGAGTGCTGTGGGGCCAGGGAGACAGAATAAATGAGGAGAGCGAGCATCTGGGGAAGGCTGTATGGGGGCCATATATGTAGGTCTCTAGAAAGATTCTGGATTTTACGTAAATTAAACAGCATTGGAGGAATCAGAGAACGGAGTGGGCATGTTCTAACCTGTTTTAAGAGGATCATGCTGGCGGCTGTGTGAGATGAAGATGGAGGTGGGGCAAGGGTGGTGGCACGGAGCCTTGCTAGGAGAATGGTGGTGGTGGGCTGGACCAGTAGTGAAGTGGACGAAGTGAGACATAGCTGGATTCTGAATGTACATTTTGATGGTGAAGGTTACAGAATTTGCTAAGAAAGGATGGATGAAAGAAAAAGGGAGCAATCAGTGCTGACATCAGGCATTTTAGTCTGAGTAACTGGTAAAACGGAGCTACCAATCTTAGAACTACTGAGATTGTGATGACTGAGGGTGAAACAGGTTTGGAGAAGGACAGCAACTAAAAAACAGGTTTGTCACACCAAGAAATGAAATGGGCTAATATATTATTTTACTGTTGCACTAAACGTAAAAGGTAGTAATTTTTCTGTTTATTGGTTTAGTTTCCACCTGAATGATAAACCATAGCTACTGAAGCACTTTTTGAACTTTTATTAAAGTATGCCTTAAACAACCAAAAATTTTAAACTATTCACAAATATGTAATCAGAAATGTAATTACAGTAAGGACTGATTTAAATCGTAGTCTCTTACTAAAAATGTCTATAAATTAGCTCTTTCATACTTTGACATTAAAATAATGGCAGTTGGGGCAACTTTGGGAGATCCTGTAAAGAACAAGTGAGCCACTTGTAGAGGTCATGCAGTGGATGACCACTTACATCTCTTTAACCTTAAGGCAAGCCTATTCATCATGGTGATTTCAATCACTAAAACACACTGCAATGCCCGCTAAACTATCAAAGAAAGCTGAAGTTACATTCAATACAATATGATGTGTAATATCATAATATCCATTCCTCAACAGTGTTGGGTAAGAAAGAATTTACTACCTGCGCAATCTGTACCTGGTACCTGGAACATTTTGATTGTAAGGATTAACTGAGGGTGACTGATATATGTACAGTCATTTAAAACATAAAATGTTACAGAAAGGCAGGTTGTAATGTACCAAATACAAAGGTAGTTAGATTTTTAAAAATATGAGCCATAAAGATGTTTGATGAGTTCTTCAAGGGCACACACTATTTGGTGGCTGGTATTAGAATGTAATTTTTTCTTCCTGCTTTCCGCTGTTAGCAAAAGTGTTCAGTCTCACAAGGAAGGCTTTAACCAGGGCTTTTACTACATCTCAAGCAGGAAAAAAACTGCTGATTTACAAATGTAGGTGCTTCATTTATTATTATATAATATCAAGACATTTCTTCTGCAAAAGAGCCAAATATCTTACCCATAAGGCAATAGGCAATGAGTTTTTGAGGCTTGTTTTGTAATAATTCCACAAATGTTTACATTTAATATAAATATGTTTTGGAAATACTGTAACATGACAACCCTCATTATATCTGGATTCTATATTGCTTATTACTGTGTGAGGTCAAATGTCTTAATTTTGTGTTTTTTTTATAATTTACATTTTCATGAGAAAATGTAACAACCCTAGTTTACAGAATAAATTACACAGAGTATGGCATATTATATCATAAACACCACAGAATCTTAATGTCCAAAAGATAATCTTAGATGTTATCTACTCCAAGCTTCTAGTCAATCTTAATTCATGTTTATTTATGCACTCAGATTATGAAGATAATTTCTGATAGCATTACTGCTGTATTCCTTAGTTTCATATATCAGTCCTATAATCCCTAGTACCTCAAATTTGCCTAATATCCCATGCTTGAACCTAAGTTATATATACTACTATAGAACTTAGTAGAACCTAAGTTACTATTGTATTCCTTAGTCTCATACCTCAGTCTCATATATCAGTCCTACAAAATTAACCAGAATCAAAGATATAGTTCAAAATACAAAGTTCGCCTTTTGGGTTTTTTGGGTTTTCTTTGGTTTTCTCCTTTGAACCATTTCTCCCATATGCTTAGTGCCTAAGGCACAATAATCTAATTCTGGCATCAGAAAGCACTGCAAACTCACTTACCCTTAAGTCCGAGTTTATATTTTCAACGAAAAGGAGGTACCTGAAAGAAGTTTATTTAGATTCCACCCTATCTGTCCCCTCTACCACAACCAAAAATATACACCCTTATCAACCATTAATCATATTAGGAGAGAACTTAGTTTTCCCCACTCCCATTCCATATACATAAATGTTCCAACAATTTATTGGGTTTAAAAAATATGTCATCTTCTCTGTCTTGGTTAGTACAGTCCTGAACATATTTAGACAGGGTTTTCATCTCACGTTAAATCCAATACAATCACATTTACTACAGACCTTGATTTATACATAGGACCAATTTTCAGAGTGCTAGGAGAAACAGTAGCAAGAAGAACCAGTTTCTTCTCCTTCTCAAGCTAGTTTGTCTTTTTTAGTTTCAAATATTGTTAAATTTGAGTAACATAATGGTATATAACTAAATAAACACATAGGTAAATATGAAAGCAATTTACGTTTTCGCCTCTTAGTCGCCATCTTGTCATGTAGATGAATTCCATAGTATGATCCTTCCCCATAATTTCACCATTGCACAGCACATCCAACTTTAAAAAGAATAATTGTAGATCTATTAACATACTGTTGAATTCAGAAGTATTTTGCATATTTTTTGAAATTTCAAAAAATATTCAAATAGTTGGAACAAAAGTATTATCATTATTTTCAATAGGAAGCATTTATTCTTCTCCTAAAGCATTAACAATTTGGATATGTTACTTATATAGTGTTACTATGCTGTATACTATACACAAGATACTGTTTATCTTGTGCCATATACCTGTATCTCAAGTTAATACACATAATTTACAAATGCAATGTAACCTTTCTTAGTCCAAATCTCCGTCATGTCTCTTAGTGGTTTAAGGCATAGTTCTGTGACTGCCCCTTTCTGAACAAGAACCTGCAGAAACCTCACAGTTCCTCTCAGCTCCTTCGGCTTCTCAATTTCTCTCTCAGAATTCTTTTACCTTCCCAAGATTTGAAGGGGTTACTTTCTTCTTATTAGTTTGGGGTTGAAGAGGGAAATGAATGAATGTAGATACAGTGATTTATGGGGCCTTAAAGGTATATGAGAATTTTCAGTAATTACCAGTAGTTATTAATTTGATACAAAGGTTAGGACTATGCCACAGGTCTGTGTCTCTTAGGGCTGTCTGGCTTCTCTGGTTTGCCTGGCTGGTAATTTGCACAATACTTACAGGATCCTCTTCCCACTTTGCACAAAGCTTCGAAAAAGCGTACTTATCAGCGTTAACTTTTGCTCCAAGTTGCAGGAACCGAACAACCCCTAAATCTTTAGGAAGGCTACAGGAACTGTGGCTATAAATCACTAATTCAAGAAAGCATAATTAAGCAAATGTTTATCATCGATCCCTATAAATAAAATAATATTTTAGTTCTCTAGCTATTAAAAACAAACTGGAAAGATTTCATTTGAAGTGTGGGAGGGGAAGAAGAATGAGTTTTAAATAATTCTGCATCTGGCTTGACAGAGACTATAGTTCTGAACTTTAAGATGAGTATAGTTTCAGTTAATTGTATTAAACATGTAAAGCAAAATTATTGATTTTTTGATGATTTATGACTTATATGGACCTCAAAATGTTTTTCAGGCATTATTTTATTAACTTTTGAAAGAATAAAGGAGATAATTCCATTTTTTAAATCTTTTTTGTAAATTAATTCATAAGCAAAGTAAAGGGTCTTACTTAGGACGCATTTTGCTAATCACGTATACTGCATCTGTTAGTGTCATTTAACAACTAAACTATCTTGCCCCAGTTAGCAATGCTGTTACAAAAGCTTCAGCTGTCAGGTATTTCATTAAACCATCCCCTTGCAGGCTAGGCAGCAAAGTAAGTGGGGAACTGAAAAAGATTCCCAAAAGTCATAGGAAAAGTCCTTTGAATTGGGATAACATAAGGAGGTGTCAGTGTACTGAATCTGTCCCCCTTCCATCTTTGTTTAAAGGGAAATATATACATGCCAGAAGTAACACTATGTAAGAGTAATCAACAGCTTCCTAAAAATTAGAAAATGTTAACTCAATGAATTAGACTTAAAAGGAAATAAAACCACACATAGTATTTTGTGTGAAGAAAATAAAGGGCAAACCAAATCATAAAAACAATTTATTGTCTATTTTTCACTGTAGTTGTATCCATACATTGTTACTATCATTTATTTTTACCAAGTACATTGGGCTTTGATACTTCCATAATATTTTCCTAAAAGTTGATGTCTCTAGAATTTTAAAAAATATTTGTAGAACCATGCCATAATAACAATTTTCAAACCATAGACTAGTCATCTGAAAGAAATTTTCAAATAAGCTCAGGATCAGAGGCTTCCTCAAAACATGGACATAATACCTGTTAATGTCTATCACATTTTATTTCTCCTCTGATGACTCTTCATGATATTCATATTACTGCAGATAAGCCAGAAAAACTATGCTGCCTTTCCTTTGATGTCTTTGTTTATACAGGAAACTAGTCCTGGTCTTTAATTTTCTTTTCTTTTCTTTTTTTTCTTTTTGAGATGGAGTCTCACTCTGTTGCCCAGGTCGAAGTGCAGTGGCATGATCTTGGGTCACTGCAACCTCTGCCTCCCAGGTTCAAGTAAGTGATTATTGCCTTGTCCTCCTGAGTAGCTGAGATTACAGGCGTCCACCACCACACCTGGCTAATGTTTATATTTTTAGTAGACACGGAGTTTTACCACGTTGGCCAGGTTGGTCTCAAACTCTTGACCTGATGTGACCCACCAGCCTCAGCCTCCCCAAGTGCTGGGATTACAGGCATGAGCCACCATGCCCGGCCAGGTCTTGAATTTTCTAGCTGCTACTATCAGAACTCGAAAGGGAAGAAGGGGAAATTAATGAGTTGTAAGATTATCATTTAGGCAGGTTAGAAATGATAGCCATATTTCTTTACTATGTTTTAGTCATAACTCTAGGATTAAAAACATTCTCTAAACATGGAACACATGACAAGCTATGCTGTGATCAGTATCACGGCAGTTTACCTCTTCTGTAAATAAACTGGCAAACTACATTTACGCAGCTATAATATGTTAGTTTTATCTAGTGCTAAACAAAACCACTTCTGCATTTCATGGAACTGTGATTACTTATGAAATTCCTTGTGATAAAAAGACAATGTTTTACATTCTGAAGAAGTCTATAAAGAATTGGTAATAATGGATCTCACAGATCTCACATAAAAATGACATACCCTAAAGCATGAATACATTTAGTGGTATATTCATTTTGGGAGTACTTAATGTTAAGTTCTTTAAATATCTCTTCTAATTATAAAACACTAAATGTATTAGTATCATAGTTTATTCAGGATATGTTCAATTAGAAAATACATATTACCTAAGTAGAATAATACATTCTGAAAATTAAATTTTTAACATGAAAATAACCAAAGTTTCCACAAAAATTAATTTGAATATATTCTCAGTTTTCACTTTTGTTAGAATTTTACTTCAAATCAGAATTATCACAATGATCAAGCTTAGATATTATTTAACTTACCTCATAAGAACTTGGAAGTTTTAGTTTTAAACTTAGAAATTTTTTAATAGTTCCCACAGTTACACGTGTAGAACATCGAATGAATTTCTTCATTAAACCCTAAAGGAAATAAAGATTACCAGTTAAAATGTTCTATCTTGCTTCTGGTGAAATCAGAGCTACCATTTCCACTATCATTTTGAGTATTTTTAAAATATATTGTGAAAACATTTCAATTTATAGCTTTTTAGTACTTGCGAGCAAAAATATTCCTAATTATTGGATACTTATATGACATTCTTCAAGAATGTATTATCATGTGTACTAGGAATATCCTGGCAAATAGGCAATCTGCTTACCTCTAGACATTTTAGTAAAGAAAACATGAGTTTAAACTAAAAAGAAAAAAGGTCACAAAAAGCATAAAAATATTTTATTATAAAGTATAACTTCTGAAACATGAGGGATATTTTCTAAAATATGGTATCACAGCTTTTAAATAATTTTAGAAAGAGCAGGGATTTCAAATGGTACTCTGAGGAGCCACAGGGTTCAACAGAGAGAGGCTGGTTAGGCCACAGCATGCCCCAGAAATTAGAAGTTGCATAGTGTGGACCTCGTGTTGGGAAGAATCACTTCTGGTCAGTGTCTGATAGGCTGTGCCAGTACTTTACTGGAAGAACAAACTTCTATGTGCCTTGATGTGTCTCATTTGTAAAATGTGCAGAGCAGTACTAATTCACTCTCAAAGCCTGAATATCACTAAAATATAAGAACCAATCCAGAAGGGACACCCAAGCTGAAAATGAAGCAAAATGAGGTTGTAGACGTAATAAATACAAACCAATATGTGAAACAAAATTACATTCCACAACCTCAAAAGTTATCAGAATACTAAAACACAGAAAACAATAGAATCTTTTAAAGATATTACTCCTATTTGTATGTATAGGAAATGAGGTCAGCATCTGGAACAACATCTCAGTGTTCTTAAATTCACTAAGTCATAACTATTCAGTCAATGTTTATTTCCTAGCAGATGTTTTCCCAGCAAAACATATTCCCTGGCAAAGACCAACAGAAATAAATTAACAAATAATAACCTGGTCACAATACAGATGATAAAGTATCCATTAAAAGAAAACAGAAAAGTTACATTTAAATCAACACATATTCTACCCATTTCAAATGTGAAGACGGATATTCTAGACAGCATGAAAACGAAGCGATAAATGTACAAGTCTATCTTCCCTGTTATCTGTTCACCTTCTCAACTATCCCAAGATTTCCTGTCAATTTTCTTCTTGCCCCAAACAGCTTACAAAGAATCATTAACACAGTTTTACAAGCCTAAGTCAGAGAAGAATATAGGGGTGTAGGTTGATCATCCCAGTCTGAAATCTGAAATGTCCCAAAATCTGAAACTGAGGGCTGACATGACACTAACTCATTTCAGATTTGGAAGCTTCAACTGTAAGTATATGCAATGCAAATATTCCAAAATCCAAAAAACTTTTGGTCCCAACCATTTTGGATAAGGGATACTCAATCTGTACTGGAAGACTCTTAATTTGTGTATTTTTCATCTGCCAAGAAATCAAGAAGAATCTCCAGAAATGATGTTGGTATCACTACTCATAATCTTTCAGAGATTAATAAGTTTTTATATTATTCACAAAGTTGTACAACCATTACTATGATCTAATTCGAAAACATTTTCATCATCCTTAAAAGTAACCCAAATCCATTCACAGTCACTCCACAACTTTCCCTCTTCCCAGTCCCTGACAACCCTAATCTACTTTCTGTCTTTATCCTTGTCTGGACATTTCGTATAAATGGAATCAAATAATATGTGATCTTGTGTATCTGGCTTCTTTCACTTAGCATGAAGTTGTCAAGGTTCATCCATTTTGTAGCATGTATCAGTACTTCACTGCAGTTTATGACTGAATAGTATCACATTTTCTTTCATTTTGCTTTTCCATTCATCAGTTGATAGATATTTTGGTTGTTTTCACTTTCTGGCTATTATGAATAATGCTATTATGAATATACATATACAAGATTTTGTGTGAACATGTTTTCAATTCTTTTATACAATAGTCCCTCCTTATCTGCAGTTTCACTTTCCTTGATTTCAGTTACCCAGTCAATGTATCACTGTCCAAAAATACAAAATGGAAAGTTCTAGAAATAATTCATAAGTTTTAAGCTGCATACAATTCTGAGTAATATGTTAAAATCTTGCAGCATCGTACTCTGTCCTGCCCAGGTTGTGAATCCTCCTTTTGCCCAGCATATTCATGCTGTATAGGCTACCTGTCCATTAGTGACTTAGCTATCTCAGTTATCAAATAAAAAAACCAGTATATACAGGATTATTTGGTACTATCTGTGGTTGCAGCATCCACTGGGGGTCTTGGAACATATGCTCCACACATAAGGGGGGACTACTGGATATGATCACATACTTAGAAGTGGAATTACCACGTCAACTCTTTGAGGAACGGCTAAACTGTTTTCAGCAGTAGCTGCACTTTCACCTTCCCACTAGCAATGTATCAGGTTTCAATTGTCCACATTCTCTAACATTTATTATTTTCCTTAAAAAAAATTTCTGGCCATCCTAGTAGGTATAAAATGATATCTTGTTGTGGTTTTGATTTGCAGAGCCCCAGTGACTAGTGATGTTTCGCAACTTTTCCTGTGCTTATTGGTCATTTTTATAACTTCTTTAAAGGAATGTCTATTCAAGACATTAGCCTACTTTTTTCCAAATTGGGCCATCTTTTCATTGTTGATTTATGAGAGTTCTTCATATACCTGTATATTAAAGGTTTATCAGATATGATTTGTAAATATTTTTCCCATTCTATAACTTTTTTCACTTTCTTAAGTGTCCTTTCATACACGAGAGTTTTACATTTTAATGAAGTCCAATTTATCTATTTCTTTTCTTTTGTTGCTTGTGCTTTTGGTGTCATTTCTAAGAATCCACTGCCAAATCCCAGGTCATGGGAATATCTTAATTTCTCCTTCCTTTTGGAAAGTTATAGATTTTTGATGAATATAGATTTACTAGTTGACAGTTTTCTTTCTTTGAGCACTCTGCATATATTATCCTATTGCCTTCTATCCTCCACAGCTCTCGGTGAGAAATCGGCTACTAACCCTACTGGGGGTCCTTTGTGCATGAGTCACCTTTATATTGTTGCTTTCAAGATTCTCTCTTTGTCTTTCAATAGTTTGATTATGATGTGCCCAGGTATGAATTTCTTTGAATTTATCATACCTGAAGTTTGTAAGCTTCTCAGATGCTTAATGATTTTCATCAAATTTAGTTGGTTTTTTGGGGCCATTATTTCTTGAGATACACTTTCTGTCCTTTTTTCTCCATTTCCTCTCCTTCTGGAACTTCCATCATGTGTATGCTGGTAAGCCTGATGATGTCTACAGGTCTCTGAGGACCTGGTCATTTTTCTTTATTCTATTTTCTGTTTCTCAGACTGAATAATTTCAATTCATTTAACTTCAATTTTATAGGTTTTTTTTTTTTCCTTTGGCTCAAGTCTGCTGTTGAGCCTCACCAGTAAAATTTTCATTTCAGTTGCTATACTTTTCAACTCCAGAATATTTAAAAACATTTAATATGCTGTATTTGGTGAGATCATTCTTATATTTTCATATAGGTGCTCAGACCATGGTTTTGGTTCTTTGTACATATTTAAATAGATAATTTCAAATCTATGCCTAATAAGTACAATGTCTAGGCTTCCTCAGGGACAGTTTCTATTGACTGCTTATTTTCCTGTGTATGGGTCATACAATTGGCTCTCTGTAACTGCAGTCCTGCATTTGTGAATTAATCACAGATCAAAAATATTTTTAAAAACAATAAAAATAACAATACAATAAAAATAACATAGTATTAACAACTATTTACATAGCATTTACATTATATTAGGTATTAAAAGTAATCTAGAGATGATTTAAAGTATATAGCAGGCTGTGCCCAGGTTATGTACAAATACGACACCATTTTATATAAGGGACATGGGATCTACAGATTTTGTTATCCATGAAGGGTCCTGGAATTAATCCCCAACATATACTGAGGGACCATTGTATTTGTTAGTATCTCTCATATTTTGTTGTTGTTGTTGAAACTAGACATTTTAAATGATATAATGTTGCAGTACTGGAAATCAGATTCCTGCCTGCTCTTCAGTCCTAAACTAATTCCGTAAAGTCTGTATTCTTTACCATATGTAGTCATGAAAGTTTCTGCCTAGAGGTCAGCTAATAATTGAAGAGAGATTTCTTTATACATCTGGAGCCGTTAAGTTGCTCAGTCTTTGCCAAGGGTCTGGGTATGTGTTTGGTGGCATACCACCAATATTCAACCAAGGTGTTGACAACTCTGCCTTAGTCTTCACTTCCTACTCGTGCAGAGCACTTCAAGGTCAGGCGGAGGTGAGAGCTTAGGGCCTTCTCAGGTCTTTCCTGAACATGCATACAACTCTACATATGCACATGGCCCTCTAGATTTCAAGGAATATGTCACAGCTTTTTGAAGCTCCTAGGGACATCTCGTTCTCCAGCTCTTCCATTTAAGCTATTTGGTTAGCCTCTTGTTTGCTCCAAATGTTATCTATACCTCAGGCAGCTGTAAAGTTGAAACATTTGTCTGTAATTGTTTTTGACAAATGCCCCTTTCCCCCACCAACAGAGAAGGCTTTTTCCATGGGGGCAAGCTCCAAGTCAAGTTGAATACTGACAATCTTGTAAGTGGGGTCTCCTAGGAAACAACCAGACAGGTCAAATAATGACCATTCTTTGGCAATGAGGGTTTGAAAGAGCTCTACCTCTATTCTTTTCCTTTGGTCCTGAGAGACTGCAATGGGAAAGCAGGCTGTTATTTTCAAGGCTACTGCAGAATTTGAGCAGGGGCTGGAACTAAAGCAAGTTAAAATGCCACAAAGCTCACCTTTTATACTGAGAGTTAGTCATCTTTTTGATAAAATGCTCTATAGGCATCTATAAGCCTTTGTTTAATATCAGATCTCTGAAAAAGCTGATACTGAACATTTTTGCCAGTAGTTTTATACTTTTATGGAAAAGTGAATTTTCAGAGATACTTACTCTACTCTTTTTATTGACATCCCACTATTGACTTTGACTTCTGTATTACAAAAGCAGTAGGTATTCTGTATAAATGATACATGCAACTACTGCCCCACCACACTTGTGAATCACACCCCACTGCAGAGGAATGAGATGGCTGAAAAGGCCATAAAGCAATACAGACATTGTGTCTCTGCCACTAAGGGATTTACAGTCTAGTATCAAGGACAACACACACATAAAAAAAGATAGTATCAGTGCCTAGAACTCTTAGGCACATCCTTAATAGATAACAAACTAATCCCTAATTGAGGGATAAATGTAAGTACCACAGAATTTCAGAAAAGGGATTCACTAGGTTGAGAAAAGCATCACAAAGAATAAAAATCTCTGGGTCTTGACAGAAGCATAGGATGTTGGAAGAGGAAAGAACACGCCAAACAGGAAGGGTTGTTCAAAGTTTTAGAGGTCTCAAATATTCGTAACACAAACTTTTATATATTCTAGATACAGATCTTTTGTCAGATATATGGTCTCCAACACACACACACACACACACACACACACACACACACACACACACACGAGCTGGGGGGGAAGACAGAGAGAGAGAGAGAACGAACACATACATAAAGGATAATCACTTGCTTTGAAGGGAGGATTTACTAATGGGTTTAATGGGAGATAAACTTATTAAAAGAGGTGCTTGTTAATGAAGGGCCTTGAATGCTAATGTAAGGAGTTACGACTTAATTGTACAGGCCAAAAGGTGGCAAACTTTTGGCCTGTACAATGGCCATGTCCTCAGGCCAAATCTGGCTGGCCATCAATTTCTATAAGTAATGTTTTATTGAAACACAACCATGCCCATTCATTTACTATTGTCTGTGCTGCTTTAGTGCTATAATGAATAAGTTGAGTAAATTGCAACAGAGACCATATGGCCTACAGAGTCTAAAATATTTACCATCTGACCCTGAGATTGGTCACGGCCCTTACTCTGGGCCTTACATACACTCAGGCAAGTGGCCCTAGCCCTGGATAACAAAAGAAAAATTAAGGGTACAGAAAACACTTAATAACTACTTTAAAAAATGTAGATATAAGGGTGAGCAGCACTAAACTGGGGGGAATTTTGCAGGACTTGGTGACTGGCTGAAAGAAAACAGTAACAGGTCAAAGATGACGTCAAGCTTCAGAACTTATTTGATTGGCTGAAAGACAGTAGTCATAACTGAAACTGCATGTCTGGACCAAAATTAGATGAAAGTGTAATGAATCAGACAACTTAGACGAGTCAAGTTTCTGGTGTTAGTGAAACTCTCAACTGGTCTATTTAAAAATAGAGATATAATATTCGAGCTTGGGAAAAAAAGCAGGGTTGGAAATGAGGCCTTAAAAGTCCTTTGCATAAAGAAGAGAACAACAGACACAAGGCTCAACTTGAAGGTGGAATGGTAGGCGGAGAGACAGGATTGAAAAACTACCTATTGAGTATTATACTTATTACCTGGGTGACAAAATAACCTTATACCACACCTGTGACATGCAATTTACCTATGTAAGAAATCTGCACGTGTACCTCTGAACCTAAAATAAAAGTTAAAAAATCCTTTGCGTAGTTGAAGCCACATAGAAAATGGAGAAGACTTTCTAAAATAGATATAGGGAAAGTATTAGGACATACTCATATATATCAAGTAGAAGGCAAGAAGTAGAGCCAGTGGAGACAAAGCAGGAATGGCCCAGGAAACAAAGGAAGAACCAGGGTAGCTTAGTAAAAGTAATTTATAAACTAAGAATGAAGGTACAAGGATGAAGAAAAGTCCATAAAGGAAGGAGTGAATGGATAAAAGGTCGACTAGAACAGCAAAGTGTCAAAGATGTGAAAATGGAGACAGGGGTGGTTAATTTTTCAAATAAATTTCTAAAGTTCAATATTTTGTACTTTCATATGAGAAATGATGCAGAGAAGTGGACTTTACATTTGTTTATGAGAAGATATTCAGCCTTTCCATTGATTTAACTTTCACTATGAGCTAGCTCATGTATTAGAGAGCTAAAGGATGACCATGAACTCTATGAAAAAGAACTTCCCAAAAAGGGAGATGACTTTTGGGAAAGATCATAAGAAACAACTGAAAATATTATAAGGATAAACAGGTACAGTGGTCATTTCTGTAAATATGGATGCACTTTATTACATGTCCAATAAATTCCCCTTAACAAAATAAATTACCTTATTTTAACTATTTGTATGTGTAAGACCTAACAGTTCCTCGAGTGAAAGATGTTTTTTCTTACTACTTACATCTTCACTGCCTACTATTCACATAGTGGATAAATATTCATTGAATTACTGTGCTCATTAATGTTGCTATAAGATGCTAGGAAAACTTGATCTGAAGTGAAAAACTGTTTTTCACTTCCCAGTAGGAAAATGCCATTAAACATATAAGTAAAAAATTCAACCTACTAGCTTACAGATTTACGCAGAAGAAGTAAAAGAAAATTAGAGACAATGAATATAGGCATTTGAATAAAACACAGAATACAGTGAGATAAACAATATTCTCAGTGGCTGACATTTGCTAGGATAAAGTGGCAAAAATCTAACAGCTAAAGTAGTGAAGATGTGTAATAAAAATAAAAGCTGCTTGCAATGAAAAGGCTGAAAATATTATTAAAGTAACACCATTTAAAGACCAAAGAAAATCAATAAAAGCAGAATGTTTTAAACTTTCTATAAAGATCCTCTAAGGAAAGATTCAATTAGCAGAGGCAGAGGAGAACAGTACCAGAAATGGAGATTCTACAGGAAATAACTGAGGGCCTTCAAGGAATTTAAAAGTTCATAGGCATTTTACAACATCTAATTTTACTTCAAAACTAATTGATTAAATTATTCACAAAATATGTTAGCTCTGACATGGAAATCTTGTTGAGTTGCAAATAAAAACAGAGAAATAAAGGATAAAATTAGAAGAGAATGAATAAAACGGCTAGAACTACTAGTGACATGAAATTCTCTAAGTTGGTCACCACTCTAAAAAACAGAAACCATGCATATGAATTCCCAACAAAGGTATAAAAGGAGGTGGAGAAAGAGAGGTGTGATTCTGGGCATTAGCCACTAGATGGTGGCATTGGCCCAGGACGGTTCAGTTGTGGGAATTGTAACCATTTGTAAGCACAAGATTGTCAAAGAATGGTATTTTATTTAATTATGTTAATTAAAACTTTGAAAACAAACATTTTGAAGTGTTAGAAAATTTGTCAATAAATTATCAAGGGTTTACTATAAACTAATCATAAAAATACCACAGTACTTGTTCACTCACCTTTACTACATTGTCCCCTGATTGCCCATTATTTCGTAAACAATCTAGACAGATAGCAATTTGTGGGTCACTTCTGTGATAATCTTTATCATCTTCATTTTCATCACCTTCTTCATCTACTTTCGGTTTGTCAGCTTTTGAAGTATCATCTGTATAATGTAAACAAACCTAAGTTAGCTATAAATCAAAGTTGATTTTAAAGTTAAACAATCATACATTGATCATCGAAACAAAAATCAACTTAAAAAACTTTCCTAGCAGTTTCTGAAGAACTTAGTATCTTTAAAATGTTCCAACCAACTCAACAATGGAAATATTTTGTAAAAAAAAAAAAAAAAAAAATTGGAAACTTACTAACATAGCTTAAGATTTCTAGGCTCATTGAGATAGCCAAATGAAAGATTCAGACTAGCTGAATTTAGCCAAAAGAAAAGATTACAATTAGTAATTAGACTATGTTAGAAAGTGGACAGGATATATAAAAATACTTCCAAATTACTTATATGTGTATATATAAATTATACTCAAGTTTATATATACGTATATATTCAAATTAAAAGCAAATACTTTTCAAATGTTAAAAGTTCTCAAAATTTCCAATTACTAGATATTCATAAAATCAGCCAGTGAAAAAAACGAGTATAATGAATTAGCTTTTTAACATATATATAGCCATTAATATATAATGTTACAACTCCATTAAAGAAATCTGAATGGCATACTTTATATTATATACAAGTGTATTTCACCTATTACATACCTGTAGCCTATAAATAATGCAGCTATATTTACCATTCATCTGTGGAGTCGCTTTAACTGTGTGTTGGGTACACATCATACAAGGCCTGAGGGAGCAATACTGAAACTAGAGCTATCATCCTCTCTCTCACAGTGGTCAGGGTATGGAATGATATAAAAGCAAGTTAAAAAAAAAAAAAAAGGGAAAAAACCAGACAAATATAGAATATAGGATGGGAGAGGTAAAATGGACTATGCGTGCACATATAAAAGAGACAATAAACCCAAACTCTGGGAGTGAAGCAGAGGTTCAGGGACGATTTCCAGATGAGATATCTCTAAGCTAAAACTTGAAAAAATTAGCTAGCCAAACAATACATTGTAGAAAAGCCTCCCTGCAAAGTGACAGGCCTGATCCTCTTCGATGACTGTAGTAAAAGCACTACAGGTGTACCATAGAGCGGGGAGGTGGGTTCTCTTTTTTCTACATGTTTTCTTCTCCCTATTTATAGAGAATATACATAGATAGGAATTTGCCTTCTATGAACCAAACTCCCAGCTCCAACAAAAAATCCAAATTCTCCACCCAAGCTAAAGACCAAATACCATAAATACTTTAAAAAGGGAGAAACAATAGGAAAAGGGAGATAAAATTCACAAAGTAGGCTACAGCTCTTCACAAGTCAAGCTGTGATACATATAATCATAGGGTAAACCTACCACATAACTTCTGATGACAATCCCTCAGGCTCCTGTCCTCTTGAACAGGTAGTCAAAAACTGGAATATTTAATTAGCCTTATCTATATTTTTACTATACCACGACTATAATTGGTTGTTATTGTTTAATTGCAGTATACACGTGGGTAAAACAAGCCCTAGTTAAGTCATTTTTTTGGTCAGGCTTAGCTTCTTTGCCATTTTTTTTTTGGCAAAAAATAGAGGTAAAAAATAGTCTCTTGCTACCTTATTCTAGTCATCAAAACTATTCTCAAACTTCCCCTGCTCTAACAGCCTTACACAGTTAAGTTGAACTAGTAAAATGATAATCTCCATTTTACAGATTAAAAAAAGAGAGATCTCATCCACTTTAACCATGTAAAATTGACAGTCCTATGATCTTATGGGAAAACCAAGATTGGGAGGCTGAACTCACAATTGACCCTATAAGAACCCACACACATTCTTGAATAACTTTAAATGATATTTAGGACATCCTAAATTAAATCTCATATTTAAAAAACAATGGGAATGATACTTTCTTATAATTTTAGATACCCCTTTGTGTGGAATATATATATATACACACACACACACACACACATATATGTATGTATGTACACTAAAAGCCTTTTATCTGCTCAGTAATGTTTGCCCCTTTGCTGAAATTATTATTAAAAATTACTAATTGCTGAGTCTCTTGGGACCCAGAGGAGAAATATGGACATGCAGCATAGGTGATGGGGAAAATTCCCATAAACACCCAGAAATACTTTCTAAATTTTCATGACATGTAAGTTTGTATCACCTGAGCTCTACTTATAAAAACTTCATTCCAGAGTATCAGAGCATAGTAAAATCTCCTGATCTGGCTCTCAGCCACATCTCAGCTCCCTCTCCTATAGAGACAAACATACAAAATAAACAGAACAAAAAACTCTTCACTGTTTAGTTGCAAGCTGTGGCTATTTCTTACTTCAGCTTCCTTTAGCTCCCTAGAAATTACTACTATAAACATCTAGTCAATTTTCTCTTTTATCTCCCTTTTCTCTTCCCAAAGTTCAATTTCCTCTATTTCCAATTACCTTCAATTAAAGTGACTTCAGATTTACAATCATTTATATAAAATCTCATATAGAAAAAGGTTCATAATGTAAATAAAAGGGTGCATGAATTTTGTGCAGGAAAAATGTGAGCCTGAAGAGAGATATTAGTTCACCTAAACTATGAAAAGCTGACCAATTTAAGAGATGCTATCAGAAACAGACATAAGAAAAAGTCACCTTGTCCATTTTCTTGAGGCTTATTTTTCTTCCAAAATTCAGATTCGCGCTCAAGTTCTTCTAATTTAAAAGAAAGAGTATAAAAGTCAAGAAATCTTTATAGAAGATGTTGATTTCATAAAACACAAACATCTGCAAGAACCTAAAGAGCCACTTACGTTCTCGTAGTCCAGGGACCAGCTTAAATATAATTTCCTCTAATGTATTGTCCAACCTTGGAAAGTGGGGAGAAAGAAAATACTAACAATGAAGACACCAAAATCTGACATATAAATAGTTTGAGATGTGTAACTTACATATATATATATAACGAAATACATACACAATTTTAGCACATCTACTATACCACACTCTTCCATCCATGGAACACACCTATTTACAGCCTTCCCCAGTAGTAGACTGATAACAAAAATGGTCCCAGTCCCCAGCTCTGTCTATAACCACACTCTTGAGCATGACTTTGAAATTCCTCCCCTGACTAAGGATGGAGTCTATTTCCCTGCCTTGGAAATATGGTCTGGCTAAAAAACTTGTTGAGGCCAGCAGAATGTGGTACAAGTGACTGCTTGGTCCTAAGCCTAAGCCTTAAGAGGCATCAAATGCTTTTGTTTCTACTTCTCTCTCTTACAGAATCCTGCTGCCATGAGAACAAGGTTGGAGGATGAGAGACCACGTAGAAGAGAGCGAAGCTGCCCTGATGAGGCCATTTTAGACTAGTCCACAGACAGCCTATCCCCCAAGATCAGCACAGCAGATTACCCAATGCGCAGCTAACTGCAGTTGCATGAGTAAGCCCAGTCAAAACCAGAAGAACCACCCAGCTAACCCAGGGAACCAGGAGGAATAATAAATGCTTGCTTTTTCAAGTGTCACTTTAGAGGTTGTCTGTTATGCAGCAACAGCTGATATGCCCATTCTCAAAATCTCTACCACAGCTCTGGCTCTTTCCCCTAAAGGAAATAATCTCCATTCCTCTCTTCTGAGAAATTTGGACCACTTTATTGTTCTACCTTCTGAAATGAAAACTTTAAATATTTATCTTGACATTTTTCTTATTTTCTTTCCTGCCATATAACTCATCTTTTTCATGGCTTTTTGTCTTCAATCCCATTCTCTTGCCCCTACAACACCCGCTTCCCGCCTCATCTCCTTCATCCTGCTCAACAACATTACTCTTCAACAAGACTACAAACACACAGAGGTTTCTCACATCTTGAAAAAAAAAAAAAACCCAAAAAAAAGCAAAACCTTTCTTAACTCATTAACTCCTTTCAAACTATTATTCTGTTTCTCAATTTTTTCTTCTAACTGGAAAAAAATGTGAAAATAAAACCTACATTGTTTCTGTCACATACTCTGTTTTGCTTCTTTTACTCTACTGAACTCTCCAAATCATTCAAAATTTCCATATTGAATAGGTTTAAATTTTTTAGAATTAAAATTTAAACTTACAAATTCTTTTTTAAGTTTATATTTCTTCTATATTGCTCTGCAGCAGTTTGACAGTGTTGTCTAACACCGCCTGCCTCCCTGAAATTTTCCTTCTTTTTTTTTTAAATTTTCAAGTCTGTTCTTTATTACTTAAGTCTGTTCTTTCTTTATTGCTGAGTATTTTTCTTTTTCCCAGTTACTTTTAAATCTGATATTCTCCCTTGCTTTGTACTCTGCACTCTTTGACCTTTTCTAAGTTCTGTCTTCCTTAGGGATTTCATCTGCTTTTGTGGCTTCAAAACTAACATATAGGCAGATTATCTGTCTGTCTGTCTGCCTGCCTATGTATCACATCTCTCTGCTGAGTTCAAGTTCCATATTTCTAACAGATGCTGAACATTTCAAGTACCTCCTTTTATTAATCTATGTCAGGATTGTCTCATCTATCCTCCTCCAATAAAATACTAAGTATCCCAGTCATTGTCTTGCTTTTTTAAATTAAATTTTTAAGTGATACCATAATTCTCCCAAATCAGCTCAAAATACGAGAATTATCTTAACTTCTTTCCTTCCCTTCATTTACACATTTAGAGCTCCCTCTCAGTACCTGTCCCACCTATTCCCCCATCAATTCTTCCATTTCTTCAATTAATTACCATTCTACTTTGAGCAGAGCAGAGACATGCTCATAATGAATCTTTCTAAAGTACTAATCTGATTGTGTTAGTTCCCTGCTCAAGGACTAATTTCTCCCTATTACCTGGCTTCATGTGTTTATATAACTTGAGTTCAACCTACAAACCATAACTGGTACTATTTGCTCACTGTCTCTCTTCTCTAGCCAACTGGCTTATTCAATTATCCCAAGAATTCCTTGTCTTTTCCAATTCATTTTTCTCCCTCATGTTTTGCATCCTGGCTCAAATACTCTCTGTACTCTCCAACCAAACCAAATGCTACCTTATTCTCAAGACAAGGTCATTCGTAAAGTTTTCCCAGACTATTTAATAGTAGGAGTGCATAAAAAATAGCACTTCTTACTACGTACAAACAGATCAGGAACCAACTTAGTTTCATTTCGTTGCCTCTGAAACATTACTTACTACTTTGATGTCCTTTCTGTCCTTCCAGCCCAATTTAGGACTAATCTGTTCTATAGTCAGTCACTAAATCACTTCCTTACATGTACCCTTGATTTGTCTCTCTTACTTGCTCAAAATTATTTAGTACAACTCAGGTTAAATCCAACTTTCCATCAACTCTGCACTGGCACCCATGGCTGGATAAAAACACAACCACACCTCTTCAAATTCCTAACTACAACCCAAACATGCCTTTAAATTTGCCAGGAATCATACTACACTCACAAGTGCACTGATTCTCTCACTCCCCTGGACAATATGCTTTTTTTCTCTCCCTAACTCTCCAAATCCCTTTCCTCTATCCTTAATTTTTGCCGACAAACACTTTCTTCTCAATGAAAAATGTCAAAGCAATGAAAAACAAACTTCCACAGGCCCCGGCCACCATACCTACCTACAGCATCTGCACCATGTACTCGCTGTCTGCCTGCCTGTTGCTACAATTTTTTTGTCAATGCTCCCATTGAAAACCAGTGTCTCCTCTTATGCTGTGAGATTCCATTTCCTACTCTCCAACATGATTAACTCTCTGCTTTCTACTGGATCATTCCCTTCAAATATGCCATTATTTCTCCCATATCAAAACAAAATAAAGAACCTTCTTGGCTGTACTTGACAGCAACCAACCCCCCACCCCATTTCTTTGCTCCCATTTGTCGTAAAACTCCTTGAAAGAGTTGTCAATACTATACTCACTGTTGCTAATTCCTCTCCCTCCTTTCCTCTCTTAAAACAATCCAGTTAGGTTTTTGGCCTCACAGCTCTAAAGAAAGTGCTCTTTTCAAGGCTGATGACCTCCATTGTGCTAAATCCAATCATCAATTCTCAGTCTTCACCTTACTTGTAGCCATGAACAACAAATGACACAGGTGGATCACTCTGTCTCCTTTGACATACACACTATCTTCACTTAACTTCTAGGGCACCACACACTCCTGGATTTTCCTCTACCTCACTGGTTGTGCCTTCTCAGTTTCTTGTGCTGGCTCCTCCTCTTCTCTCTGAACACTTAATGCTGGAGTTCTCCAGGGCTCAATCCTTGGTCCTTGACTCATGTCTCTCTGTACTTACTCCCTGAAGTGATCTCATCCTGCCTCACAACTTGAAAGATCTTCTATATGTTGAAGACTACCAAATGTTTTCCTCCAGCCCAGACCTCTCCCTTTGAGTTCCAGACCCATATATCCGCTTACCAACTTTCTCTCTTCTCTGAAATAACTCAACATGTCCACAATCGAAGTCCTGATCTACCCCTTCCTTGCTCTATTATTAATCTTCCCAACTCAGTTAATGGCAACGCCATTCTTCCAGTTACTCAGGTCAGAAATCTTAAAGTCATGTTCAACTCTTTTCTTTATCTCATATCCTATATCCAATCCATCAGCAAACCTTGCTGGATCTACTTTCGAAATATATTCAGAACACGAGCACTTCTTGTCCCCTCTACTGCTACCTCCTCTCACCAGGGTCACTGCAATTACTTTCTAACTGTTCTCCCTGCTTCTACCCTTGCCTTGTTATATGCAGGGTGTTCTCAATACAGTCATCAAAATGTTCATATCAGATCAATCCTGCAACCAAAATCCTGCAGAGGCTCCTCATTTCATTCAGAGTGAAAGATAAAATGTTTACAGTGGCCTAGATGGCTCTTCACAATCTGGAATCTCATGATCTCTCTGCTCTTGTTGCCCAGTATTCTGTCCCTCACTCACTGTTCCCCAGCTGCCCAGGTCTCCTTGCTGGTCGTCCAACAAGGCGTAGATACACTCCTGACTTAGGCACTCTGCACTGGCTGCTTCCTTTACCTAGAATAGGCATGCTTTCCCAGACCTACCCATGGTTAACCTCTCACAGTCTCCAAGTCTTTGCTTAAATCTCGCCTTCTCACAGAAGCCTATCATCACCATCTTATTTAAAATTGCCATCTGCCCCTCCCTTCACACTCTTGACCTCCTCACCCCACAACACTTTCCCCTTTCTTGCCTTTGCAATTTTCACTTTCTAACATACCATATAAGTTACTTATTATATGATTTATTGAATGTCTCTCACTACAAAAATATTAAATCTACAAGGGCAAAGATCTTTATTTTGTCTGTGAATGGACCTCAAGCACCTAGAATAGTGCCCAGACATAGCAGGCATCCAGTAAATATTTGCTGATGAATGATTCCCCTCATGGAGCTCTCCATCTTCCTTCTATTGTCTATATCAGTGATGTCCAATAGAAATATAGTGTGAGTCAAATATGTAATTTTAAATTTTTAGTAGGCACATTAACACCAGTACTTTATACTTTTTATGTAAAACTAACTTTAATGTTTTGCTATATATTAAAATATATTTAATAATACATTCGGTAATTTTTATTTATTGAACATTAAAGTTATACTTAGTGGAAAAATATTTACACTGCTTCAGGTTTTAATTGAAATTAAATTAGAAATTCCATTCCTCAGTTGCACTAGCAACATCGAAAGTGCTTAACAGCCACATGTGGCTAATTGCTACCGTACTGGACAGTACAAATACAGACTGCTTGTTCCCCAGGTCTGCTGCACAACTGTCATATCCCTTCACCTTTCTACTATGTTAGAGTCATTTATTCTTTCTTGGTTTATGCTCCAGCACATCTCCCAATAACTTCCTGTGAACAAGTACATAGAAGGTAAATTTTCTGCTACATGTGTCACAGGCAATTTAGGCTTCTAATGAAGGAGCCTAAATTCCCCTTATTTCTGGCTAACAAAATCCAATTACGTTCTGGCTGCAATGTGGCCACCTTCAGGGATAATTCATGATTTGTTAAAGCATTTCAAAACCCACCATATCATTTTACCTAGAGACTGTCATGTAATCTAGTTTTGGCTAAAAAAAAGCAGCCTGCTGTAGGAAACTTTGGGAAAGATCTTCCGCTCCCTACGACCTCCTTACTCTCCTGGTATACTCAGGCCTCTGAGGTTTGCTCAACTATCACCACCACCAGTCTGCTTTCTAGCTTTCAGTTTCTGCTGACATCTCTTCTATTACCATTTCTTCTTATCCTTTAAAAAGAGTTTATTGAGAACCTATCATGTTTCTGGAGCTATCCTAGGTGTCAAAGACATAGGATATCTTGTTTTTATTATCTCTGAGTTTATGTCTTTAAAAAAATTCCTTTGTGGTAATTTTGGTGGGATTTTAGGAAGAAAAGAGCTCTATAAAGGACATCATTAGATAAATTAAGAAAACTGGAATATGGTAGTTAGGTTAAAGTATTATACCAACGCAATTATACTGTGGTTACATAATATAATATCCTTATTCTTAGGAAATACACAGTGAAGCATTTAAGAGTAAGGGGCCATGATACATGTAACTTACCCTCAAATAGTTCAGAAAAAATAAAGCATGCAATGCACATATGCACATGATAAAGCAAACGAGAGAAAATGTTAATAAGAGGCTAATCTGGGTGAACAGAATGCACGTGGCTCTTGTACTACTTTTATTTGGGGGATTCTAAGTTTCAAATTATTTCCAAATAAGAAGTTTAAAAATGTATGATGTTATACTTTAGCCAAGGGAGGAGGTTTCATTAAACAGTGACTGGATTCCTTCAGGTATCTAATGGTCAGAATCAAAAGATTAAGATAAATTGCCTTACGATGTGGCCCTTTAAGAACAGAGAAGGTAATAATTATTAACTGCTTGTTTTTATTAACTGTTTTTTATTTTAATAAAAATAAGTTATTATAATTTTTATTAACAGTTGGTAATAATTTTTCATTACAACTGGATATTAACAGTTTTTTATTTTAAAATTAAGAAAAACATTATTTGAGAGAAAATGTTTGCTTTATTCAGTTTCTTTACTCCAGTACTACTAACATTTTAGGCTGGATAAATTTTGCTGTGTGGGGCCTATCCTGTGCATTGTAGGATGCTTAGTAGCATCCCTGGCCCCTGCCTACTAGATGCCAGGAGCACTCACCCAGATCTGACAATCAAAAATGTCTCCAGATATTGCTAAATGTATCCCGGGGGCAAAATCACCCCTGGCTGAGAGGCACTGATATAAATCCAACCAGAACAAGCTTTGCTCAGAATTACAGACCAGAGTTGACCAGTGGTTCCCACATATTAGCATATATTAGCATCACCTAGAGAGCTTGCTAAACTAAGTGATCTCCAATCCCAAAGTTTCTGAGTTAGCATGTCTGATGTGTGGTCTGAGAACTGTCACTTCTAACATGATACTAATGGTTTGGGGACCACACTTTGAAAACTACAGGGCTAGACATTTACCTGTAGACAAATTATCCCAAACAGGCATTAAAATTGAAAATCAAAAGGCTGAAATGTAAGATTTGCAAATCCAGATGTATAGAATGATGGCAAATATCACACAGATAAGAGAGTTATGAAAGGTTCCAGAGACTATCTAGCTCTATCTTTAGACGAGTAGCTTTTTTTTTTTTTTTTTTTAAGTTCAAAAGTACTAAAAAGCTAACTCTGGAATTGACCCCTTCTGTGCTTTTCACTCGATTCGAGATGAGTAGCTTCTTAAAGATACACAGGTGATCCACCTTAGAGCTATGGTGGGAACAATGAAATGAAAATGGGTCTAGTGGTGAGGACACACGAACTGTAGCTGGGAAGTGACATTTCAGGTGTTCTGTGAAACCTTAAGTCAAGTCGTATCACTTCTCTAGATTTCAATTTCCTAATTGGGAAAAAAGGGATTTGGATTAGAATCTCATAGACTACTTCTAGTTTTAAAAATATATGATTAGGCCAGGTGTGGTGGCTCATGCCTTTATCCCAGCACTTTGGGAGGCTGAGGCAGGCAGATCACCTGAGGTTGGGAGTTCGAGACCAGCCTGACCAATATGGAGAAACCCCGTCTCTACTAAAAATACAAAATTAGCATGATGGCGCATGCCTGTAATCCCAGCTACTCAGAAGGCTGAGGCAGGAGAATCACCTGACCCTGGGAGGTGGAGGTTGTGGTGAGCTGAGATCGCACCATTGCACTCCAGCCTGGGCAACAAGAATAAAACTCTGTCTCAAAATAAATAAATAAATATTTTATATGTATGTATATATATGGTTATACTGCTAAAGTTGAGGGATAAGTAAATGGTAGTCTTAAAAAAATCTTTTAAGTTTTACATAAATGTTTGTGTACTTTTTTGAATATACGGTAAATTAAAAAATTAATAGTCCTAATATTAGTCTTTCTATGAGTTCTCCCTCTTTCTACTACCATGTAGCTCAACATAATGTAGACTATTAAAATACTAAAAATGCCTGTAACCTAAAGTCACTCTTACAGCCTAAGAGAAAGTTATACTTTTAGTTTGGAAATGTATTTCTTAAATATTTAAGATGTAAAATCTTATTTTTAATACTCCTTAATAAAATACTTTAAAATAAAATGCTTTAAAATAAAAATCATAAGACCTATATTAACTGAGTCAAGACAACATGAAATATTATGACATATAATAAAAATTAAGAGCCTATTCAATTTATGTAAATTAGATGAACTGTAAAATATAACATCCTTACCTCAACATTTCTAATGGATTTGTCTCATGAACTTGGTTGCCACACCTTGGGCAATCATTGCTATCTTCAAAGTGCTGAACAATACAAGTCTTACAGACTAAGAAAAAAGAAGACTTTAGGTTAAAATGCATCATATGAACGCTCATTTAATGTTAAACTAAGTGTAATTAGAAACAGACCTTAAAATTACCTACTACAAGTAGAATATCATTATTTAATTAAACTTCAAAAACCTTACAATTATTAACACTGTAATAAAACCCAACTAAAATAAAAGTCAACTGCCACAAATAAAAAGTATACACTATTTTGCTTATTTTTTTCTTAAATACATTCACACACCAAATACTACTCTACTCATCATCATATTAAACTAAAAAAGCTGGTATATTTACACAAAATAGGTTTTTTCTCATTTAAGGAAGGACAGAAAAAGGTAAAAACTAAGTCTGCATTCATTTTCTTTGCTAAACATTTATTTAAATGCAGCATAAATAACTCTTAATACAACTTGAGAGTTTTCAACCTGTTTGCATTACTTTTATTGGCAGGGTGCTCCAGGGACAAAACTGGGAGTTACAATGGACTTTGCTGGCCTTGGCAGAGTGTAATGAGTTTCTGCTCATAGGTACTATAATTCCATGGAGCACAAAGTATGAATAATGGTATCAAGTTTGGACAAAGGCATGAGGTACATTGGAAGAATGACTGAAAAACTGACAGGGATAAATAAAATTTCAAATAAAGATTCTAAACAAAGACAATGGAAATATGACTTGTGGATTTGGGGCCACAAGCCTATATAGCCCACATTTCCTACAAATACTACTAATCTCTCTGGCTATAAATCTCTCTCATCTTTCAACTAAGCTTCTACTACACATTATGCCAATGTTTTGCCCCAAAATTTTAGACAAAATTTACAGTACCTGAGCTATAAAATATTAATTCAGTTCCTCATCCCAATACTCCTTCTCCATTCTATTACCCTGTATAACCTGAAGTTTTCACATGGCATAGATTGGCTCTCCTACTCCCCATTCACAGCTGCATTTCAAGCTACTTCCTTCTCACTCCTCATGATTGACACTATGTAAAAGTTTACCAAAATGATTGGTCAAAACTAAACACTAGGATTCTTACAAGTGAGATTAGGTTTGAAAATCCGAACGTATCACACATACTGGCCAAAGCAACAATGGCCATGGAAGAACTCTACCAGGTATCCAATTTTAAAATCATTTAGTACGTACAGACATTAGCAGAATTTCCTTTTGTTTATTTATTCATTGATTCAATAGGAATTTACTGAATGCTAGACATTATATTAGGAGTTGGGGATGCAGGGGCCAACAAAACAAAGCCCAAATTCTTATGGAGCCTATACTTTATTTAGGAAGGCAAACAAATAATTTTAGTTAGTGATAAGTGATATTTTTACCTGCCTGCCCCTCCGCCTCCAAAAAAGAAGGTAGAGACAGGGTGCTGGGAGGTGGCAGCTATTTTAAATAAAGTGATCAGGATAGGACCTCTTAGCAACCCCTAAGTTGGTGACATTTGAGCAGTGTTTTGTTGGATGAATGTACCTGAATCCCGTACTCTCTACCTCTTTTCACCATTACACACAGCTATTAGGATAACATTGCCTTCACGATAGTTCTCACAAAATGTGGGTAAAAGACAGTACCAAAATAAATAAATACCTTAAAAAATAAAACCTTAAAAACCTTAAAAAAATAAAAAGCTTAGATATTAAAAGCTTAGCCTAGACCTATTATGTAAAATTGAATACTTCGCCTTCTTCCCAAATTTCTTGTCCCCAAAAGGGTTTCTAAATGTCTTCTCAAGTCAAAATAATCTTTGGGAAGAGAGGACTGCCTTATTATGCCATGTTGAAGTAGAACACAGAGAAGCTGAATTCCTTCAGAAGACTGCTGGTATTTGCTCTTTTCCCAGGGATGCTAGATAAGTCTCTGAAATTTGGGAAAGAGGGAAAGAGGAAAAGAAAGAAAGAGAGAGAGAGAGAGAGAAAGAGCGAGAGCGAGAGAGAGAGAGAGAGAGAGAAACAAGAGTGGAGGGATTTTAAAAGCCTCCATCCTGACATGGAGCTCTGATCCTTGTGGTTCAAAAGGTTTATCATACTCAACGGGTTGGCAATCCTTGGTTGTCTACCAGGCTTGACCAAATAGAGAGGTATGTGACATGCCCAGAACAAGTCCTCACCTGGATCAGCCAAAAAGCTAAGGGTAGGACCCTATCATCCTCTCAGAAGCTATACTAAGCTAGGCTGCTCATGAAAGAGTTGTAGGGCTCAAGCATCCAAAGGTGCACACATTAAAGTTATGCTAATTGCTTAAGGTCAAAGCAGCCCCAGTACCCAAGAACAGTGATGGGGAATACTAATCTATATTCTAGATCTGGACTGCCCAATACAGTAGTCACTAGCCACATGCGGCTACTAAGCATTTGAAATGTGGCTAGTTTAAGTTCAGATGTAATGTAAGTATGAGATACACACTAGATTTCAGACATAACAAGAAAAGGTAATCTCAATAATTTTTATATTATTGAAACATGTTGAAATGACAATATTTTAGACATTGGGTTAAATACATTATTAAAATTAATTTTACTTGTTTCTTTTTTAGTGTGGCTACTAGAAAATTTTAAATTACACACATGGTTCACATTTTATCTCTACTGAAGGGTGCTATTCTAGATGGAGACAGAATCCCTCCTATCAAGAGGTGAATTTATTTTCACACCAACAACTGAGATAGGGTATCTTATTCCACTTTTGCTGGTGAAAAGAGGTTTCAATAGGCCCAGTCACCTGCCTATTCTGGTGAATGGCAGCACAAAGACCTAAATCCAGGTTTTCTGATGTGAATTTTTGTTTGTTTAGTTTTTTTAGATGGAGTCTCACTCTGTCGCCTAGGCTAGAGTGCAGTGACATGATCTCAGCTCACTGCAACCTCTGTCTCCCGGGTTCAAGTGATTCTCCTGCCTCAGCCTCCCTAGTAGCTGGGATTACAGGTGCTCACCACCATGCCTGGCTAATTATTTGTATTTTTAGTAGAGATCGGGTTTTGCCATGTTGGCCAGGCTGGTCTCGAACTCCTGGCCTCAAGTAATCCGCCCATCTTGGCCTCCCAAAGTGCTGAAATTACAGGTGTGAGTCACTGCGCCCAGCCTTAATGTGAATTTTTGAAAACTTTTTTTTTTCAGAGGCTAATACCAAAAACTCTTTTTCCTGACAATGTTTTTTTTTTCAGATAGTTCTAGTAAAAGACAACTTTAAGATGCTGAACAATGTAATATTCTGACTTGCTTTCTTTTTCATTTGGATGGTTTGGTGGTAGTTGTCATTATTGTTGTTATCATAGTTAACACTTAATGGGTTTATGTACCAGGCATTATCTTAAATATGCACATGTATTCAACATATTATGTCCATGTATATCCTAACCAACATGTATTTAATCCAATACAGTTTAATAATCTAATCCTTACTACATTCTTATTAATTAGATAGCATTTGGCCTCTTATAAAAAATTGAGTAGAGAATTTAAGCAAGTTGTCTAAAATTATGAAGCTAGTAAGTGGTTAAACCCAATATTTGAATCCATTTTCTTAACCAAAGTATGTGTGATACATTTTCTTCACACTTTATTTACACAGATCTACAATATATATAAAAAGAATGTCTTATCCCTTATTTTAGGAGCCTTAAACATGTCTAGTTGTACAATTAGATCTCCTTTTAAACAGTCTACAGCCCTTTTCGTAGTTTATTTGTTCCTTTAAAGAAAAAAATCTCTAGAAGATACATCTCCCACATGGCTTTTAAGAACTGTTAAATAAAGCACAACCTTATGTAAATTAGAACCTGAGGAAATCCAGGCTTGAAGTTTGGTGAAACTGGGAAAAAGTAAAATGAAGATTTGGTTTCCCTTAGATGCTTAAAAAACTTCTCATTACTACAAAACTCACCTCTAATTCTTAGTTTATAATTTGAAGTCCATACTAGCAGTACAGCACATTTTAAAAATATCTTAAAGATTTAACGCCAAACTCTCTAACTGCTCAATCGCTGTAGTGGTTAACCCAATTGGTCCAAGAATGATGTTAAAAAGGTCCTAGTCTAAGGTTAAGACTCTGTATGCAGACCAAGTACAGTCTTCATTCTCAACAGCTACTCCACACAGATTCTATACCCATAAGAAACACCTGGGTCAGAAAGGGAGTTAGGCTCACCAAAGATGTCCTCAGGTGGGAAAACACTTAAGCAACAACTTAGCTAACATTTAATGAGCACTAACCAAATATCAGGTTTGGGCTCAGAACTTTGTATGGATTATAGTATGGACAGTTACTATACTCCTTTGGCAAATGAGGAATGTAGTGCTGGACAGCCTGAGTAGGCTGCTCCCAGCTGCACAGCTGTGCAGCAGAGATGGTATCCATCCCTGGGCTGCGCAGCTCCAGGCCTAAAATCCAAGCCACTATGCAATGCATCCTAGAATTAATAACATTTGGTCCCTGGCATCAAAATAAAAAATTCATATAATATATATACTTATTATTATTCTTTCTTTCTTTGAGACAGAAAGAAAGCCTGGTCATCCAGGCTGGAGTGCAGTGGCATGATCATGGTTCACTGCAGCCTCAAACTCCTGGGCTCAAGTGATCCTCCTGCTTCAGCCTCCTGAGTAGTTGGGACTACAGGCATGGGCCACTGTATTAGTCCGTTTTCACGCTGCTGATAAAGACATACCTGAGACTGGGCAATTCACAAAAGAAAGAGGTTTATTGGACTTACAATTCCAAATGGCTAGGGAGGCCTCATAATCATGGCAGAAGGCAAGGAGGAGCAAGTAACATCTTATGTGGATGGCAGCAGGCAAAAAGAGAGAGTTTGTGCAAGGGAACTCCTCTTTTTAAAACCACCAGATCTCATGAGACTTATTCACTACTCATGAAAGACCTGCCCCCATGATTCAATTACCTCCCACTGGGTTCCTCCCGCAACACATGGAAATTGTGGGAGTTACACTTCAATTTGAGATTTGGGTGGGGACACAGTCAAACCATAT